CACATGCGTGCTCTCTCTCAAATAATCTAAAAAAAATAATTGTCAGCTATTACTATTCTACATCATATCATTTCATTCTCCTAGCCTCTATTTCAGGTGAGGAAACTGAAGTTCACAGAGGCTACCCCACTTGCTCAGGGACACACAGCCAGTGAGCAGTGGAGCTGGGATACAAACCCAGGCCTTTAGACTCCTTACAACCATTTCCACCTCACTGTACTGCCTTCCAATTTAAGGGATCTGCCAGGGCTGGAACAAGCAACATTAGGAAGTGAGGACTTTGAACACTCAGAACAGCTCTTACCCTTGCGGGGTTTCTAACGCGGGTTTGTTAAATCCCATGATTCACATCCCTAGAAACTGTACCCTTCTTCTTTTCAACATTTGTGGATGAAAAATGACCACAATGGTAACTAAGATGTGTAGTTACAAATATCAGAAAGCAAGGCCTTTTTTCATGGCCTTAGAAAGATGGTATGGCGCTCTGCAGGGTTTTTCAAACTTTAGCAGGTATGAGACTCACCTAGAGGGCTTGTTAAAATGCAGATTGCTGGGCCCCACATGCAGCGAGTTTATTATTCAGTAGGTTTGGGATGGGGCCAGAAATTTACATTTCTAACGGGTCCCTAGTATTGTGGGTGCTGGAGGGTGTTGGATTCAGAGTTAGAAACCCAGGTTTGACTTTGGGTTCTGTTGCTTACTTGTGACTCCATCTCTGTTTTTCCATCTGCAAAGAAGTAACAGTAGTACCTATTCTACCTTTTTCAGGATTACTCTAAGGTTTCTGTAAGATTTTAAGACTATCTATGGTCCTGCAGACCTTTTGGGCTCATTTATCCAACCATCCTATATTCCTAAAGTACACATTAGGTCTATGCTAGGGACTGATCACAGACTTGGCCTTTGTGAGTTTATATCCCAGGTGCTACATTGACATTTCACAGATTCCTTTAGTGATGCTCAATGTTCACTGGCCAAAAAGTTGAGGAAACTAACAGGCCTTTTATTATTTCAGGGTGACCAAGGCTTTCCAGATGAACCCAAGGAAAGTGAAAAATCTGAAGCTAAAAACCAGACAACAGAAACTCAGCTTAAGGAAGGAGGCCAAGTGGTAGCACTCTTCAGTTACGAAGCCACCCAGCCGGAAGACCTGGAGTTTCAGGAAGGGGACATAATCCAGATTATATCAATGGGTAAGTACTACTCCTGGATCATAGAAACTAATTTCCATGTGAGCAGCAATAAGTTCAAGGGAAGAGAGGGAGAAACATTAATAACCTACAAGCCAAACTTTAGCCAGTGGTTTCAATCTCCTTCCTAGCTTTCAGCTGGAGGGAGCAGGACAGAGGGCTCAGCCTTTCCATCTGTTTCTCCAATGGGCAGGGAAGCAACAAATGACAGACTCAGCTGACGTTTTGATCATTAAAAATAGCTGTGTTTTGGAAGGCATGCATTCTCGTTCCCAGAGTAAGCCAATTGGAAGGTGGCTGGAATCATTTTGCCTTTGCACCAAGCCATAGGATACTTTCCTATAAACCACAGTTCTCTGAACTGATGTACTTTTTGAAGATGAGGGAAGGAGTGCATAAATTTTGCCTTAAAAGAAGCTACTTGACATTGCTTTGTGTCTCTGGTGACCTTCCTGATCCTGTTAGGAATCAAACACACTACAAATTGAGACAGTATTTTAAGTAGAGTTCTAATTTAGTGCTTCTCAAACTTCAGTATGCCCAAGCATCGGTTCGAGAGTTAAATAAAATTCACAGGCCCAGCAACCAGAGATTCTGATTCAGGTCTGGGGTGGGGCCTCAAATTTGCATTTCTAACAGGCTTCCAGTGTAATGCTGATCTTCTGACAGAGAGAAGCACCAATTCTAACTCACAGTTTGACATAATCTTATTTCTCTACTTCAAAACAAGAGTCCCATCAAAAGCTTTGTTCAGGGGCACCTGGTTGGCTCAGTCGGTTAAGCGTCTGCCTTCCACTCAGGCCATGATCCTGGGGTCCTGGAATTGAGGCCCGCACTGGGTTCCCTGCTCAGTGAGGAGTCTGCTTCTCCCTCTCCCCCGCTCATGCTCTAATAAATAAAATCTTTAAAAAAAAAAAAAAGCATTGTTCAAACAGCAGAAATGTGCATTAGCAATGCAGAGTAGTGAAAACAAATTCCATTACCATCAAGAAATGAGATTTTAAAGTTAATGGGGGTAGAGAGTATACAATTGTCTGGCAATTAACTAAAAATATGAGTAATGAAATAAAGAAGCAGGGTACCCTGGCAGTGCCTGTCTTCTGACAGGGGTCAGTAGGGCTTAGTAACTCCCAGCACCATTTTTTAAGTGTCAATATCAACCAACCAGCTACACTGTCCGGTGTTTGTTTGGGGGTGGGTGGGATGAGATAAAAACTAGAACACACATAGAAAAACCTTCTGGATAGATATGGAGAGAAAAAAGGTGGCATATTCCTTTTGTGTCTGACTCTTGATTTCAACTCAGATCATGATCTCAGGGTCCTGGGATCTAGCCCTGTCTCGGGCTCCATGCTCTGCAGGGAGTCTCCTAGATTTCTCTCCCTCCCCCACCCCCCTACACCGGCTCATGCTCTCTTTCTAAAATAAATCAATCTTAAAAAAAAAAAATCGTAAGGAAAACACTTTTACAGCACTGTGCTGTAACAAAGAATCTGTGTGTAAGTGGACCCTCACAGTTCAAACTTGTGTTGTTCAAAGATCAACTATTTTTTTTAATTTGAGAGTGAACAGGGGTAGGTGCAGAGGGAGAGGAGAGAATTTTTTTTTTTTAAAGATTGTATTTATTTATTTGTCAGAGAGAGAGCACAAGCAGGGGGAGTGACAGGCAGAGGGAGCCTGATGTGGGACTTGATCCCAGGGTACTGGGATCATGACCTAAGCCAAAGGCAAACGCTTAAAGAACTAAGCCACCCAGGTGTCCCGGAGAGAGAGAATCTTAAGCAGGCTCCATGTTCAGCGCAGAGCCCGACACAAGGCTCAATCTCACAACCCTGAGATTATGACTTGAGCTGCAATCAAGAGTTGGATGCTTAACTGACTGAGCCACCCATGTGCCCCAAAGATTAAGGTATTTAATTAATGGCATGTAGTCAGAATAAAGATTACTAACAGTGATCAGGTAAAACTGTTATAAAAAAAAATCCTATCTCAAGATTTATTCAATTTCTTCCACCTTTTTTTTTGTTCTGTCAGTTTTTTGAAAAATCTAATTGATTTTCTGTATTTTACTCCTCCGTTATCATATATTAAGACAGAAATCAGTAAGATGGTGGAAGTCATATGTTCACTTTTCCCTCAAATCACTTTCCGACATGGACTTTTCCCTGTTATCACAATTGGGGGTGAAGGACTGCCAAAGATCTGTGTGCATATCCAGATGAGATAATTCTCCTATATTGGTTTTAAAAATCGATGTATATGTTTCCTTTTATCAGTGAATGAAGACTGGCTGGAAGGAGAGTGCAAAGGGAAGATTGGCATTTTCCCCAAAGCGTTTGTTGAAGAACATGCAACTAGAGATTCGGAAAGCTCTCCTAGAGGAGTCTAGGATGTTCCATAACCTTCAAAGTTGGAGAAAAGTAACTATTATCATTTGTGAGGTTTAAGCATGCCCCTGCAGTACACTGTAGGGAGACATCACTGTTCGGAAGCGTTAACTAGTCCACTTTTCCCACTGAAAATTTAACCCATTACACAATGATGGGGGAAATTATCATGATGATGACCCTGGCGGGTGGGGTGGGGTGAGGGAGTGGAAGCATCTGGAAGGACATGAGGGGGTCTTCTAGGATGCTGATAATGTTTCTTGCTCGGAGTGCTGGCTACCCAAATGTGTTCACTTCGTAAAAGTTCACTGAGCTGTACGCTTACTATTGGTGCACTTCTGGATGTGGTACCTCAATAAAAACTTACAAAAACAAGACACCGAATACAGGCCCAAGGCTGAAGTGTTAAGTACCCCTATTCCGGTACCACGACAGTCACAGACTCCTCGAGCCTGAAGTAAATTTACAGGTAATTCAGATGGCAGACACACACAAAAATAACTTTCCTCTATTGTAAGTCTTATTGCTTAAACAGAACCTAGACTTAGTTTTCAATTCCATAGAGAATTAAAATACTAGAATCCCACCCCTTCATGCCTTCTCAGGAATACTGAGTATGGGATGTAAAGAAGCCCCATTCAGGAAGCCACTTGGTCAGGACTATCCTGTTAGTTAACGTTTTATAATATGGACTATGCTAATATACATGAGGGAACGCTATGGTTTTATTTTGGTTATCACTTAACCAAATGGCTTGATTTTTTAGGGTTAAACTTGGGGTTAACAAATACTAGACCTTAGAACCTTGCCTTCATTTCCCTCCCTCTCTCCTCCTTGTACAGTATGTATGGCTTTGTAACCACTCAAGTGTGCAGGTGCTTGTGAAAAGCAGTTAGGAAATGATGTGTAGACGCAATCAACACAGAAGTGATAGGCTTGCTGACCAGAGAGAACCCGCAAACCGGCAGGCCGTGGCACTGACCTCCAACCCGCCGCTGCAGGCCCGGCAGGCTACCACTGGAAATTTTGGACACAACACAAAGAAACGAACCTCAAAGCTAAGAACACTAATTACCGTTGGGGCTAATCAGACTTCGTGATTTTGATAGACCAGAAAGAGAAACCATCTCTGCACTGTCCCACTGACAGTAAAAATAGGGATAAAAATGGAGGGTTGTTAACTTCTTTGCATAAGCCCATCTTTATTCATTAGATAAAATAATTTTGACAGTTTCTTTCACCCATCCCTTTCTATAATAATGCACACTGGTTTGGAATGCTACTGAAAGCATTAATAACCCTGAAGCATATTCAATTTCTGACCATCTCTGATTTCCCCTAGATGACTTCTAAGTAGTTTAAACACTTGTTTTTCTAAGTAGGATATTCTTTTAGGTTAGAAAAGAAACAACGTACACACAGATCTGGTTGGAGAGAACATGGTTTAATTAAAGGCAAAGCTGATTTCAGCAGCTGCAGGTCTTGCACAGACAGACCGAAACAGAACAAAACAAAAAACAAAACAAAACAAAAAAAACACAAGAGAACGTTTACCACACAAAACCAGTTTCTGATGAAGATTCTCCTCTCCCTCCTCATTACTCCACATTGAGGATGATAAGGCGAGGAACCCCGCCCCAAGAGTCAGAAAACATTCCAAACACCAAATTCTCATGCAGAAACAGGGCTGTAGATGGGATGTGGGCAGTACCGGGGGTGAGACAGTGAACCTGGCTAGCTCGTCTAGGGTGCAAGAATCAGGGACAGCTCAAACGCTGGAATGTTGCAGCTGCCTGAATGCAGAGCTCAAACACACAAAGTGGGTCAAGGTAGTGGGGAAGGAGGCTTGGAAGGGAGGGGATGGGAGAGAGGCGGACACAGGGAAGGGGCTGGAGAGAAGCACAAAGGGTTTCCTATTGCCACTGGGTGGGGGGGCTTCACCCTTTCAGACCTTTCAAAACAACAACAACAACAACAAAAAAAAAACAAAAACAAAAAACCCCAAACACCATGTCAAACTTAAAGAGCAATAATGTAAGCATACGGGGCTCCAACCACTGTCTCTGAAGAGCAATGAGCATTAATCTCACCCCTTCCATTGCTGGGGTTGCCCAGACTCGAGTGACAACCGGGGCTCCTGGATGTGCTTTGCTCTGCAGCTGTCTTCCAGTTTGTAAGTCCCACACCGACTCCACACACTCACACACACTCCCCCTCCCCCAGGGGGAGCAGCTGGGTGCGCGCACCCGCGCGTGTACACACACACACACACACACACACACGAGACCTCCCAGAAACAGACCTTACCACTAGCACAGCAACTGGACATTTAGATTGTTTCCATAATTTCCCCTTAAAATATTACTTTTCCAGGAACTAACAGAAATGCTGTCCTTCTGTTTCTACACAAGAAAATTTTCAGTCCTCTTTCCTTCTAATAAATACCAAATAAAAGTTTATTTTCTTTTCTTTCGCCTTTTCCAGAACGGACTTCGTTGTGTTTTCTTCTGTGCATGATGCACACGCGTCCGTGTTGCCTTGAATTTCACTCTGAAAGTGGAGGTCGGGAGGCGCAGCTGGGCAGGGGCCTGGGCCGTCGTGCGCTATGCAGACGCCGCTGCTTCCTTCCTCCTCAGACTGTCTTTCGGGCCCCAACTGCTGGACCCCATGCTGTTGCTTCTTGGCGAGATGTTGTACACATTAGGAATAGAAACAACTACTGGCAGACAGCATAGGGTGGGAAAGGGATGGAGGTAGGGACAAGAGGAGATGGGTGGTAAGCAGGATGGGGGTCACAAAAACCAATCAAACAAAAAATAACCACACTGAAAGCTTCTACCTATTAAAATGTGTCAGGCCACGAATGGACCAGCCTGCCTTCTGTGAGACTGCTTGCTATGCTACTATAAAATGTACAGGAATCAAAAACATTAATTTAAAATCCTACAGCAGTCATCTGCCAATCCAGCCCAGCACCACCACCCACACTGCATCCTCGACTGGGGCTCGAGCACCTACAGAGTGAAGGGCATTTCCTGCTGGAGTCTCCAGGCCAGAGGAGGGCCTGCCAGAACCTTCTGAGTGAAAGTTGAGGCCTTGGACTCTCCCTCATGGAACACGTCCACTGGCTGAAGAGGTCAGCTTCCCCATCCTGTCACCACCAACCTCTCGCAGGAGCAGTGAACGGGGCGGCTTTCCTTGCTGCACACTGACTAGAAGAAGCACATCTGTGTGTGGAAGAATTCAGTGTGATATTTTACTACTGAGAGTAATAACAATAATAAAAGATGTTCAGGAATAATTTCAACTACATTCTCAGTCAGCAAAGCAATCATTAATGGATTCCTATTTTATTCCCCAAAGAGGAAAAAAGGACTGAGAAGTTCCCGTTGGCTTCTCCCATCTGCCTCCCCTTCTCAGCTTTCACTTCCCTTGTGGCTGGGGACATGCACGATGGAGAAGGTGAGAGGCGGTGATATCAGGTAACTGAGTGAGACAAAGAGCAGTTCCTCTCTCCCTCCGGAAGGCCCCAGGGGGACAGAGAGTTCCTGATGGTTTTGTTCTTTTTGTTGCACTGCAGACATTTCGTGCACACTCAGCACGCCGGTGGAACGCTTACACCCTCTCGACAGCAAGAAACAGAAAAGAGGGCTGCCACCTGCAGGGAACTGTATGGGCCAGTCCTGCAAACCCAACATGCCATGGTTTATGGAGCCTTCATTCCCAGGGTTGCCACTTTGGCCTCAGTGTGGAGGGTTCATGGTGCCTTGTCCCCGCTGCTGTTTCTGCTTCTGCTGCATTAACAGCTGCTCCAGAGCGGAAGGTCCAGGGTGCATCATGGAACTGGACCAGATAGACTGAAAAACAGCCCAGAGCTTGTCAGCAGGGGTCAAATGCCTGGATGTCTGAAAGGGATTTGCTTCTCAATCCTCACCAAATATAAAGGCATATATGTCCCAAGATCCCTGCCCCCTAAAAAACCCAGCTATTAGACAAAGTTGTTGTAAGACTGTCTTCAAGACCAGTTAGTTCCCACTAAGATTATTTTAAACCAGAAAAGGTGAAATACTTTTTACTAAAACTCAGGGCCACGTGGGACCACAGAATATTTACAATAAAGATTTTAGGCAAACAAAACATCTCTAAAATTAGATACCCTTCCTTTATTTGTTCACAAAAGGCTTAAATCAAACATTCCAAAATGACTCAGAATTGTCTTAACCTTATAATGCAACTAAAACCTTTGTTTCTGTCCCCCTTGAAGATAACTGCTTTATCACTAGTGAGTTCACAAATTTAAAAAACAAAATTCCTATTCAAGAATCTTATAAGGTAGACCATGTTTCTAGGACTTCACTAGATATGTGCTATGAATCGATCAACTCTAAGGGCCTAAGGAATAAGCCTGGCTATTTATAGGAACAAAAGCAGAACGACATCTCTTGTGGTTCTTGTTCCTAAAACCCACTCACCTTTAGGCTTTCCATGAGGACAGCAGAGGAATCCTCCATGGAGGGGCCGTGGCCTGTCCAGGTGCCACTTGGAGTGCTGGCTGGATGCCAACTGCTCTCAGAGGATGATGTCGCTGAGAGATAGTCAATGCCAAACCCACCCATGGCTAAGGATGCAAAGAGATACGAAGAATTCAAGATGTTCTGTCATTGCCAAACACCAAACACCAGAGAAGGACAGAGTAAGTGATTTCACTTTCACTAGGCAATGAAGTCTGGATCTTACCTGGCTTATCAGTTTTCCACCGATCTGCAGTTCTCCTATCCCTGTTATCTGGAGTTCCAATGGGTCCAAAGTTGGAGAATGGAACAGAATTATGGTTGTGTGTTGGAGGGGAGCTTGGCAGGCTGCTTGGGTTAGAGGAATGAGGAGATTGGCTGGCTGGTGTTGAATGATCTATTAAATCACAACAACACAAGACATTAATAGATGTTTCACAAACAAACCAAGAACTGAAGTTTCCTATAGATCTGCTCACTTAAATTCTACTAAGTGAATTTACTTACACAGACAGAGTAATCATGCAGCTTTGGGAGAAAGGCAGAATAAGGGCCCCCAAAGGGACTCTGCCAGATGCGCTAGTCTTACTGCACATATCTAAGGCATGGTCCTTGCTTTAAAAAAAAAAAAGCAAAACCAGACAATTCTGGGCATGCACTATTTTGGCATTGCTGTTTCAGGTAAATATCTACTGGTCTTCTCTACTAGAAACAGAATTGCCTAATCTTAGGAATTACTATTAAATCAAACTCCATTTATAAAATAGGGATTTTAAAAAAATCTCTATTTTAAAAAGTGTAACTTTTCCTGCAAAGAATGAGTATCTACAAACAAAATTAAAGAACAGCTGGAAATCTTTTAAGACAGAACCCACATTTTTCTCTCTTACAACTCTGCTAGTTATTGAGGATGTAAAAAAGCTTTTTTTTTTTTTTAAAGATTTTATTTATTTATTTGAGAGAGAGAATGAGATAGAGAGAGAGCGAGAGCATGAGGCGGGGAGGGTCCGAGGGAGAAGCAGACTCCCTGCTGAGCAGGGAGCCTGATGCGGGACTCGATCCCGGGACTCCAGGATCATGACCTGAGCCAAAGGCAGTTGCTTAACCAACTGAGCCACCCAGGCGCCCCTGTAAAAAAGTTTTTTTAGTGGCACTTATTATGTGAACTGGCTCATCAGGCTTTTTTCCTATTTTCTTTCAGAAACTACTTTAAAAAAAAAAACCATATTTATAATCACAAAATCATACTAATTCATCATCAATCTGAGTGAATAGGAAATGCAAGGTCTGTAATTTAAAGACTAGTCAATACCTGAACTGGCAGGAAGTGATGGAGACCAGGGGGTCCCTTCAAAGAGGGAGTACAGTGATGTCTCCTGGGGGGCGAGCGAAGGATTAAGTTCTGTTTTGGAGCTGGTTGTCAGGTTTTTCCCATAGACCTCATTGAACACACTGTTATTTGGGTATCTTTCCTGAAAGACAATGACAACCAAGTTATAAACTCACTCCAAGGAAAGAGATTTAAGAAAATGTAATGTTCATGTTCTCGGATGCTTAAGCATCTTAAGTGTATCAAGCTTTTCTTAACAAGACAAACTTTTGAAGGCTTTTATTTCAGTTTCTTTTGGTTTTCCCGTTAAATTCATTTTCCCTTAATTTGCTTTCCCTCACTCTTTATTTTCTCTTTCTATGTAAACCACCCAGATTTAGAAGTATGAATAGTTCACTTGGCTGAACGGCAGAGCCCTAAGGATTTTCATATTAATGAGTAGTTAAAGGGTTCAAACTTATAGCATACAAGTATCTCATACACCCGAATCAGAGGGACAGAGGATAAAATAAAACGTCTGGAAGACACCAATATATGGAAGAGAAAGGAAGAGAAAAACAGGGGTATGGAAATAAAATGGGAAAGGATATACTAGCCTACTATAAAAGCACAAAGCAGGATTCGTCACCGTCTACCCACCTGATTGAGAGAGAATCCGGTGAGGGACAAGAAAGAGGAGGAATGGGACATGAGTTCCGAGGGCTTCTCCAACAAGGATTTCTTCACAGTCCCGGAAAAAAAGGTAGTTAAATTATGCCTTCCATTTTCTTAATATTAATCTTTAAGACACTATACAATCAAAGTAGAAGACCACCATTTAAGCATACTTGTACATACCCATCACGTACAATGTAATGAGTAAGACTTTGAAGATGTGAATTAAATGTTAATACCATGACACCAGCTAAGTGCAAGTCAGACACAGTGCTCCTGGATCAGTACTTCTCATCTAGCAGATACCCTGGTAGGGACCAGGGACCCTGGAAAATGGCAGTTCTGCATGATTACTAGCAGGAACCTTCAGGAATACCCTTATTAAGAGTTGCATTTAAAATACTCTCAAAACAAAATGCTGAGCTGATCTGGCAGTTTTTTCCCCCAATTTTTAAAACACTCACATTAATGACTTAAAGCCTTTCAAATCCATTTGACAATGGAACTGGTTTTGTCAACATGGCTCCTAAGCAGCTCTATTTGTGGTATATATTAAAATAGTTGCTGAAGTTGAACCTAACATTTATTGGCCTTAAGAAAATTACCAGGAAAAAAAGCTGAATCTCTGATGCTCACTGTCACTGAGTAGTTGGTCAACAAAGCATTTACTAAACACCTACTACATGCAAAGCACTTTCACACACATTTTATCATTAACAATGTTAAATACAGAAAGGATTACAGTTAAGGTTTTCTTCGTAAACATAAAAAAAAACCCTAAACCACTCCCCTCCCCGCCCACTGTCCCACCCAGATGGAGGAGGGGCAAGCACTGCAGGAAGTCAGGGAGGAGGAAAGGAGTGGACAGAGGGGCACTGCCCCCGGGGCCCTCAAGCCCTCAAGCCACACCAGTAGAGAAGCGGCAAGAAAGGCAAACACAGGGAGCCAACAGTTTCACAGTTAGGTTTTCCACAACCCTGAGGTGCTGTCACTGTGCTCTTGTAGTTTAAGTTTCTAGGGGATCTTTTAGTTCTCTAACTTGGGTGAAAAAGTGGGACGTCTCTCTGGCCACTCACCCAGGCAAATTCTGATGGAACTTCAAGTGCCAGGGATGGCAGCTTCTGTCATGAGAGCCATACAGTTTTATTTCTCCTAATTCTAATCTTATGGATTTTTTTTGTCTCATACTTATGAGAAAGAAACAGCAAAAAAAGTAAAATTCAGAATTGTTTTATGTTTTGTTAAGATGGAGTAAAGGGAGGGGGAAACTTCACAGCATACGGCTTTTCATGTTCCCCCACCTCAGCAAAATATAATATAAATATTGACGAGAATACAAAATGGCCATCCTCTGAAATGCAGAGTGATTTCTAGAGGACTATTTTTAAAAGACACCACTAATCAATACTTAAGACTTTATTTCATGTCATCCTAGTTATTTATCTCTGTATTCACTCAACTACGGCACTCCAACAATGTTTATAAATAGAATTCTCTTCATTTTTACTCATTCTGTTTATGAATCTTGCTCTGAATTTAGATCCGGGCTCTCAGTTAACCAAAGAGAAAAGAGCCACATACCGTTCAATAATGTCACTAAGAAATCTAGAATGTATTTCATTTCATATTTTGAGTACATGAAGAAAAATCCACTGCTCCTGAGCAAGATCAAACGATCTTTGAAATTCCTGGGTTTAGATGGAAGTGCCACCTAAAAATTAAGTTAATTTGCCAGATTTGCATCCTGTGTGACCAGCCCTGAAGGATGCTTCTGGATAACACATATAACAAAGCTATGACTCTGAGCTTTACAACTGTGGCGTCAGAAATGTTTTCCCATGTTCTACTACCATTTGACAGTCTGGGCAGTAAGGAAATAAATGGTACAATTCTGTAAAGAAGGAAAGCTCCAGAAAAAAGAAATCATCTATCTCAAGGACTCCAAAATCTCAGGAAAGAAGCTGGGGTTAGAGCAAGAGGAATTATGTCAAATACATACAAAGAGGTTCCGTCCAGGAAGAGAGGCGAGAGGCCCCAGCAGAGCTGGGTAAAGATCAGGAGGGTTAGAAAAAATCAGCTCTTCCTCTTCCTCCAAGGCAGCCAGACTCTTTAACAGGTCCGGAGGAAGCAGAGGGGAGCCCTTGGGGTCCTAGTGACAGAAAGGATCACAGTGAGATGCAATAAGGCATGACAAAAGCACAAAGGAGTAAGTAGCATGATTAGGGGGATAAAAGCAACTCAAGTCAAGGAGAAGAATTACAGCAGACAGTATTAAGCAAAGAAGAAAAGGCTCTGAAACACAAGTAAAGTGACACAAGGACAAGGGTGCAAAAGATCAAGACAACAAAAGCAGCAAGAAACACTGACAAACATGGAACCGAACATAAGAGGTTAATGCGGCCTGTGAGTAAAACAATGCGGTGCAGCAAAGGGGTTATTAGCATATCCTGGGCTAACAGAGAAACAGCTCTTTTAAAAAATTACAGACACACCTGTTTCTCATGAATAAAGAGAGAAAGGAAGGGGAACTCCACTATCAAAGAGAACTGGCTGACTTTGTTCCTCTCAGAAAGCAATTTGTTTCAATACGCAGTAAACCTATTTTTAAACTTAGATGATTCAGCCCAACTGAGAGGAGCTTTGTTTCAGAATTCTCTAACATGCTGTGATAGAGATTTCCGCACCATCTCTCTGCCAGGCCATCACAGTTCCACATCAGTAACGGGATTCCTCAGCTCCCCCAGATCCAATCGGGCTGTGCAATTGTGAGGAGGAGGCCAAGAGCCACACCAGTTAGTCAGCAGCACGCTGTAGCACTAATGGGTCAGAGTGGCCTTTATAAACGTCTACTTGAGAAATTCAAAAGATATGCAGCCCCGGACCTCTCTCCGCTGTGCCTGGTGACAGGAAAGGACACACACCTCAAATGGCATCCTGGGCACAGGATCCTGCTCTGGACGGAAGACTCCTGGTGACCGTTTGCCCCTGCGGTCCATATTTGCTGGCTGTGCCATTACAGCTCTGTTATCGGCCATACTGTAAGAAGAATCCCAGTAGAATTCCGGGACCTTGACTTCTGAGGGATTATGGTTATATGGCTCCATGGGAAAAGGCTTCATTTTTTTCTCTAGAGGCTGCTGCTGCATTACAGGAGGTTGCAGTGACGGCTCAAACAGTTTTATGGGGTCTTGGGACTGAAGGTAGTAGGGCTGTTTCACAGGCATGATTTTCCCTAATGGGCCTTGAACCTGAGGGGGATTCCACAGCTGTTTGGAGGCATCTGCCTGTTGATACTGAAAAATCAGAGATGCTTGTCATCAGGACTAGGATAAAATGCAATGTTACATTCAATACTCAGGAAATCAAAGAATGAACTTGAGAGATTTTACAACCAACGGAACTCAGCAGTCCTTTACCCTTTAGGTTTTTCAATACATAGAGCTTTCTGGGAATAGATGATGGGCATGGAACTCACGTTCCCTTTCGATTCGATTATGAGATTTAATGAACAAATGAGTGTGTGTGTGTGTTCCCCCTTCCTGCCTCAAGTGCCGTGGGGTTGACAATAGTTTTAAGAATGGTGTCCTATCCTTAACACCTCATCAAGATTATGATTCTATTTCCCCTCTGTAGTTAATGTTCAAATAGGAGAGAATTATTTATACAAAGTCCTTTCTACAACGCTGACAAGAAGTAGCAGCAAAGAATGGTACTTAAGATCTATTATCCTTTACAAGAGAAAGGAACACATTTGAAATTGCCTCAACAGCAAAGAGAATATTTTTGCATTCCCATAATCCTTACACAGCAAAAGCATCTGAAAGCTTAACCAGTATTTCTAATGAATCAAACACTGAATAATTTCAGCCTTCCCTCCTCATTTCAGCCGCACAGTACACGCAACTGTAACTTACCTGCTGGAATCCAGAGTGGTGAGGAGGGCTTTTCCCCAAAGCCGGCACAGCTTTTGTGGGGGATTGTTGCTGAGCTAGAGCTTGAACCTGCAACTGGCTTGTAGACTGTGCTGTTGGCTGAGCTGGTAAAGATGTAAGGGGTTGCTGGGAAGGTGGCTGTGGTTGTTGAGGTCCCTGGTTCATTGGCCCTGGTCCAGAGGGCCGTTGCTGGCTGTAAGGAATGTGGGACTGTTTCCCAGCTTGCACCTGGTTTCCTGCTGGAGAGTGAGCTGTAGGCTGAAGAAAGGTTCCTGGGACAGAAACACCAGCTGGGAAGGTGTAACCTGAGCCCATAGAAAATGCCACAGGAGGGGGAATAACATATGTGGGGGGCGGGAACCCTTCAAAATAGAAGAACACAGCAGCTTTAGTTCTAAAGGCACTTAGCAAAAGAAAGACAAAAATAAGTCATCTGAGGGGGACATGGGGTAGGGTAGAGAGGAGGTCCTCTAATAAATTATAAAAAACAGGGAGCAACCATCAAGTGAGACTGATCAAGCATCAATCTTTAACTTGATTTCAAGAATTAAATTAGAGTAGTGGCTGCTATTTCTATTCACTGAAGCAACTGGAGTATTCTAAAGGTGGTTTCTTAAATGCCAAGTTTAGTGATGGGAATTCTGCCATGATAACAAACATGCATTTGTATATAAACTAGAGAACTGGCTCAAAAATAACTTCATAAGCATTAGAGAAAAGAGAACTTCCTTCTACCTTTTAACATTATGGTTTAGTAATATAACTCCAGTAGACTGTAAATTATTCAATTAACAAGCAGAAACTCATACACAGATGAGATTAAGTAGAACAAAGTATAAAATGTATATTTACCTGGCCGGCTGGGAAGAGGAGGGAAGGCTCCAGGGTGATGAATGGGGATGAACTGGGAGTTACTTGCTTGACTTGGGGTTTGAGTTACAGGTGTTTTCCTGGCTTCAGACACTGGAGTCTTTCTTAGTTCTGTCTGGGATTTTACCTATGACCAACAGAAGCAAAACTATAATAATCTGAAACTCAAATGTGTCAGAAAGAAGCACCTACTCTAAGAACCCCATTATGTCCACACAAAAAAAAGCATATGAAGGTATTTAAATTTACCTAAATTAAAAACGGGAAAATCAAAATAAATTATTTAATTGTCAATAAAAGATATAAGGGCTTAGTTTTACTAGCGTAATTATTTTCCTTTCACAAGATCATAAAAATACTAAATACGGAAAGGACCTGAGAGTTCTTCTGTTTTACAAATGAGACACGTCTTGCCAACAGGTTAAAAAACTTGCCTATGATCTTTTTTTTTTTTTTTAAAGATTTTATTTATTTGACAGAGAGAGACACAGCAAGAGAGGGAACACAAGCAGGGGGAGTGGGAAAGGGAGAAGCAGGTCTCCCGCGAAGCAGGGAACCTGATGCGGGGCTCGATCCCAGGACCCTGGGACCATGACCTGAGCTGAAGGCAGATGCTTAATGACTGAGCCACCCAGGCGCCCCTAAACTTGCCTATAATCTTAAACCACCTATTATGGACCCCAGCGCCCTTTATACTTGAATTCATTAAACAACATACATGAATTATGAATTAATAACGATGATTATTAACCCACAGGGGAGATACTTTGGCCCTCAGTTTAATTTCATCTGGGCAGCCTTAAGCATACCAGTCAGGTATCCACCCGCAAGGCTGACACCCCTTTAGAATAAATAAGGATACTTTCAGCAGTAAGGAGCAGGCCCCTAGATCCTACACAATGAGCTACAGAGAATATGTCATATGGGTTGCTCAAAATGAGTAAAATGAAGGAAAACAGGTGACATTTACAGAGACCTTAGGATGAGGTACAGAGAGTGGTAATATACTGACTCCTGCCAGGCTTTCTTTAATCATCTAGAAGCAGATTTAAGAGGGAAGAGAGACCAGAAAGGAGATTTTCAGTCTGGCCCTTATTGGGAGGCAGTTGCAGAGAACGGAGGCAGAGCAGGCAGGAAAATACTGGACTCATCCCTAAAACACTGGCCCTTTGGCTTTATAGTTCATTTGGTTTGTTCTTTGCTTTTCCCCAGCACCTCTCTCTCCCCATGCCTTTTCTCAATTTCTACCATGTTTTTCTCTGTTTCTCCCCCTACTATTAATCTTAAAATGTAACTATTATGTTATTTCTCTGTTTCCCAAAAAAACTCTGTAGGTGAAATACCCTGAAGGCACTATTAATTTGCAAGCAGACTTCAATAAGGGTCCTCATGCCTACTGCAAACAAATACATTTGCTAAAATGTGCTAACAAATCAAATGGCTACTTAGGTCTTTGTTCAAACATTTATGGTATAAATGAAACCAGCACAGAGCAAAGACCTTTTCCATTTATACGTAATCGTCTGTATCTCTTTGGAAAGGTTTAAGAAAAACAAAGTCACAAATAATTGAACAGTGTTTACCTTTCCCCAGCAAGAGACTTAAATTCTTACTTTACAAATTCCCATGAGTCAGGATAACACTGAAGTGATATAATGCTACTGGCTGGGACAGGTATAAATGCCAAGAAAAAGAGCCTCGTCTTTTTCCAAGAATATCATTTATTTCTTATAGTGAACTAAAAAAAACAAAAAATTGTAAGCCTTAATATATTCTTGGTTCTATTGGATCTATAAAAGACCCCAAATTTCCCAATATAACATTAACAAATGGCAGTTACACTTTCCAAAGAAAATAGAATTCTTCATGTAGTTAATAGGTCTGCAACTGGTCATTTCAAACCACTTCAATTGGAGAGGATAGATAAAAATGTCAAATCAGGTTGAGATTTTTTTTTTACTCACATTACAATTTCCAAGAACTGATGGAGTAGCCACCTACCATAGCTCTTACGTGACCTTACTGTGCGGCATTCAAAGAATGCATTCAAGCTTCCAGAAGAGCCAATTCTCAAGGCTTTAGGAACAAAATGAAAATCTTGCCTTTTGTGTGAGCCTTCCTCTACCTGCATTATAGTTTAAATACAGCTTACCTGCACTGCCACACTCTGCTTTCCTGTTTCCTGTAACTTTTCTAAGATGCATTTCTTGGTTTCTGTTTTCCTCTTGCTGTTGTCCTTCTTTCCATCATTCTTAGTTACAGTAATTCCTTTGCTACAGTCCCTTCTCACCTCTTTGGGAGGAAAACTTCTTCCTTGGTCTCTGTTCACTTCTCGCGGCTTAATGTTCTCTTTGAAGGTGACCATTGGTTTCTCTCCTGGGTCACAGTTGTTGCTTAGATTACGGCCCGTGGACAGCACTGATTTCAGTCCTGGGTTCCCATCCGAAGCCAGTGACTCTATCATGGATGGTTCTTGCAGAATGAGGTTCTCTTTGGCTTCACTGGGGTCTTCCAGTATTAACTCTGGGATTTCTGTGATAAACAACAATTTCCCTACCTCATTTTCACACTGAATCAGCCTAAAAAAGTAAAAATAAATCCATATATGAAAACCATTAACCTAAAAAACACTAACAATGGAACTGAGTCTGGACCCAACAGTCAGTACATCCCCGGTCCCAAAGACTTGGAAACAGTGGGGTATCACAGTATAACATATCTATTTTATATAACCTAAAAAGTGTTACAGAAAAATTTAGATTCTCATAATTGCTTAGCATCCCCACAACACATTCCCATGCCCTTTTAATGTCTTCTACTAATTACAGCTACATTTACTGACATGTCTTAAGTACAAGGCACTAGACTAGGCCCTTGAAGTGGCAATCTGTAATTCCTCATTTATAGGTGTAAAAACTAGAGCTCAGAAGGACTAAGTTCATTCAAACATGCAAGCATTTAAGTGCTTACAGTAGCCTGAATATAGAAATTAATATGAGGATTGAGAGAAATTAATATGAAACAGTTACTGACTTTGGAAAGGTTATAATCAACTGGGGAGATCCTAAGGACACACACCTAGGAAACTGGCAGAACTAGAAACTTAACTGACTCTAAGCTGTCCTGATTGAAACTGACCACCACGCCCGTCAATACAAATCACCATAATCGTGAACATACCATTTAGTTAGACTTACACAGATGTTTATAAATTAGGACAGAAGCTCATGATTAACAAGGGAGACAAAGCCTATTTCTCTACACTAGGCAGTGTAATAGGGAGAACAGAGATTAAATGGAGTATACTTAGGATCACCAGGGTAATTTGATATTGTGTTACCAACATTTTAAGAGTTTATAATCAATAGCATTATGCCAGAGCCTGAAACACATGTGAGGTGTGTAAGTGTATCTGATGAGAAATACCTTGGCTGATTATCGGCGATCCATTTGCCTATAGAGATCAAGCGCTGCTGCCGTATTTGTCGTTGCTGACCTTCTTTGTCTCCTGTAATACCCTGGTGGCCTTTGGAAAAATCCAAGTTCCTAAAATTGATATAAGCAAATTATACAAAATTAAACTTCGAAAGATATTTCCCAGGCAACCAAGTTCACCTATTTAACTGCAATGGTTTCAGATTTTTCTATACAGGCTAGCTACTTGGTGTAATCAACTGCATCTCAATATAAGCTCCCAAAGATTTGAAGTACAATGAAACAAAGCAAAAAAGACAACCTGCACATTCATTACATTAACATACTTTTACTTAAATTTTTCTTTCTAAATGAGGAGCTCAAATAAATCACAGTATTTTATTAGGAAAGATAATTTTACTGTAAAAGTTTTCATTAACACTTACCTTGTATTCTGTGTGATTTGTTTGAAATGACCATTGCAATGCTAGGGGTCTCTAAGTATGCCTATTCTAACAAACTGCTAATCTATGCACTTTAGGTGGCCCTAAATCAGAAAAATGTATACATATCACCAAGTATATTGAGCAAAAATCTCATTGACATTAGAAAGGTAAATCAACCTGAAAAAAATAAGGATTTTTCAGATTTCTCCTCATTAAATGCAGTATTTTTTAAAAAAGTATCTAAACATTGCCAGGTAGTAGGCTAGATGCCAAATACACAAAGATAAATGAGAAAGAGAAATAGTCTCCATCATAAAGATGAAATAAGAGACTATGAATCAATTTGATGAATATTACAATAAAAACTATGCAAAGAATAAGCATAGTAATAATAGGAGGGCTTGTTCCTTCTGATAAGCTCTGAAAAGGCTTCACAGAGTGTTACCGGAGCTAGACTTTGACAGGTGTGGTAAGTACATACAGGTTGGTAAGGGAAGGGCAGAAGAGGAAAACGGACTGTTCCAGGCATAGCATAAACAAAGTCTTGGAGGAATAAAAATAGTTACTCAAGAATAGGACACAGTGGATATACAGTATGTTAAGTATTAGGGGAAAGGAGGGTGGAGGTGGCAGAAAATATGGTTGAAAAATCAAGCACTTGGACATGAAGCTAAAAAAGATATTGGAGGGAGCCTGGGTGGCTCAGTTGGTTAAGCGACTGCCTTCGGCTCAGGTCATGATCCTGGAGTCCTAGGATCGAGTCCCACATCAGGTTCCCTGCTTGGTGGGGAGTCTGCTTCTCCCTCTGACCCTCCCCTCTCTCATGTGCTCTCTCTCTCTCATTCTCTCTCTCAAATGAATAAATAAAATCTTTAAATAAAATAAAATAAAATAAAAAAATAAAAATAAAAAAGATATTGGAACTACTGGGGGTGATTGAATTCAAGTCTTTGTATCAGTAATGGGACATTAACAGGTCTATATTTAAAATGTAATCATGGAAGCATGGCAGAAATGACCTAAAGAAGGAGAGGGACTCTTAGTAGGGAGGTTGGTTAGGAAGCTTTTTATACTCCAGGTTAATGGTGACAAAACCCTGAAACTAAAGGGAAATAAATGGGAGGAGTTGGATCTAAAAGGCATTTTAAACACAGATTTACAAAGACTTGGTGAGAAAGATTAATGGAAATAAGGATTTTTCTTTTTTTTTTTTTAGAGTTCATGTAGGTGGTTAATGGCACACAGATAAATATAGAAAGATCATTTTTTGCTGACCAGATAGGAAAATAAGAGCCCTTTTGGGTCACATTGAAGTTTGAAATGTGTAAGAGATATCAGATGGTTAAAATCGGAGTCCGAACTCCAAAAAAAAAGTCAGAACTGAAAATTTTGGACTTACTATCCAAGAGATGAAAGCTCAAGACAAAAGGATGGATCTGATCACCAGGGAGAATGCAGAAGGTGGGAAGGGAAGGGTAGGAAAGACCTCTGGAGGATAATACTCTGAGGCATGTGGTACAGAAGAAAGTGAAAGAGATGGAATATGATAGAGCTGAGAAAAAGGAGGCTTCATGAAGGAATGGGATCAATACACTCAATGCTAGAGAAAACTGAACAGGATGAAAATTATAAAGTCAATGGAGTTGGTCACCAGGAAGGCACTAATAGTTTAAGTTGCAGGAGGCTGAGAAATGACTGGGAGTGAAGCAGGGTCACACACTAACCACCCTTTTAAGAAGTCTGATGATGAAGAGAAAGGGCAACATCAGAGAAAAATGGGGTTGTGAATTTTTTTTTTTTTAAAGATTTTATTTATTTATTTGAGAGAGAGAATGAGATAGAGAGAGAGCATGAGAGGGGGGAGGGTCCGAGGGAGAAGCAGACTCCCTGCTGAGCAGGAAGCCCGATGCGGGACTCGATCCCGGGACTCCAGGATCATGACCTGAGCCGAAGGCAGTCGCCCAACCAACTGAGCCACCCAGGCGCCCAGGGGTTGTGAATTTTTTTAAAAAGAAAAGGTATACCTGAATGTTACTAGGCTACTAAAACAAAGTAACTGGTTGTTAAAAAAATAAAAAGATACTGGAAATACAACAGAGAGAGGGTAACAGGTAGGGAGGCAAGAAGGGGTAGGATCAAGGACACAGATGAAAGAGTTACACTTGAAAAGGAATAAAGTTATTCCTCTGAAAGGAGGAGAAGAGACAAGAATGACTATAAAAACAAACTATTTTATCATCTTTATTGATATGAAAAATGTCAAGCAATATCCTTTGGTTTACATTTAGTTCCCATTTTTGAGACTTCCCCTCTAATTTCAACAAAGTATAAAACTATTAAAAAAAATCCAGTGTATAAATCACTTGGGAGAAGCAATTTTCTTTTTCTTTCCTTTCCCCCATATTTGTAAAAGCACTTAGTACTGTATTACACAGCAGGTAAACACATGACATATACAAATCCATTTCGTATCAAAAACTTCTGCTTTTAGTTGCTGTTAGGAAAGTAAGACAAAGTTGGGATAAATCAAAGGTTCTTCTACACCCAAGCCTGATTTCCCATTTTAATACTGTAATCACTGGTAATGAAATAAACCTCATTCAGCTGCCACCTACCTGAAAGAAGGTCTCAAAGCCAAGAATCCTTGTAACTCAAACTCCTCTGGAAGTGGTGTAGCTACAGAAAGGCAGAAAGCAAGATGTGTAAACATTTTAATTTAAAAACTGTTAATCAGCAGAATGTTGTCCACTAAATGAAGAAAATTACAATCTTCTATACAGAAAAAAAACGCTATCTATAATGCTCAGAATTCTCTGCTCTTCTCTACAGTAATCCTGGTAACAGAATTCATCTATCAAATTCCTGCAGGTTGCCTCTGGGCCCTTGACACTGTCCCCTACTACTTACCCACTACTCAATGCTAAGGAGGATGGAGCCGATGGGACCTTTTTTTCCCTAGCAGCCTTAAAAATTCATAGCCTCAGATCCAGTAATCCCATTGTTTAGATTATCTCCTTGTTACTCAAAGTGTTGAATGACACCAACATCACCCAGGAGCTTGTAAGAAATGCAGAATCTTAGGCACTATCCCAAACCTACTGAATCATAAACTGCATTTTAACAAAATCCCAGGTGATTCATTTGCAAATTAATGCTTGAGAAGCACTGATCTGATAGGAGTAAAATAATCAGAAAGGAGTCAACTATAGATTGTTCAGTACAGAATTATTTATAATGGGGAAAATTTTAAAGCAAACAGACAATGATTAAATACATGATGGCATATCCACAGGGCAAAATTATCATGCAGCCAGTAAAAATCATGTTTCAAAATGTTTAAATGGCAAAGGAAAATGCTAGCAATATAATGTTAACTTTAAAAAGCAGGCCCGAAGCTGTATCAGATATCAATCACAGGCAGGTGTATGTACACATAAGAAAAATGTCCCAAGAAATACACTATCATGTGAATAGCACAAAGTATCTTTGTATGAGAGAACCATGGGTTACTCCTGTTCTTAATGTTTCAATGTCCCAGATGTTCTATAATAAGCATGTATTACTTTAACAGAGTAATGCTGTTCACATTAGTTCCTTTAAAAAAAAAAATAGTAAGAATGAGGAGGAAGGGAAGGGAAGAAGACAAAGAATTTAAAGGTATTGCACTCTTTGGATTCCTATTCAAATGTAGCTAAATAGGAGAATATGCTGCTGGAAGAACTGGAAGAACACTACCTCTACTTCCATCCTCTTATAATCATGATGAGTATAGAGTTTGAAGTCACTTCTGAGATACTGAACTTAAAGTCAAACACTTAACAAAAGCCTGTTTTTTCTTTGGCCTTAAGCCTAGTACTAATTAGTGATATAGAACAATGTCAACAACATAACATTAAGGTAGCCCTTACCATTAGTACTTGAAAGATCCTCTTCATGGGGATGGAAACTATTTAGAAGAGAAATTAGCCAGGGCCAAATGCTGTAAATTAAAGAGACATTTCAGACTTTGTTTAAAATAGAGAAAACCAGAACACCAATAAGCCATGACAATGTTATCTAAGGGCCTAGACGTTATGTATTTTTCCCCTTGCTTCAGCATTTTAAAGGCTGTATGATTTCCTAAAACCTATTTTCAAAGATGTCTAGATAAAAGATACACAAGAAGGGTCAAATTTGTACAACAGAGACCTACTACTGTAGATCATTTCCCAGGCTCCTAATTTAACAATTAGTGAAAATAATTTGTTAGTTTTAAACACTGATAATTGATACTTACTGAGAACACACTGACTAGAGAAACAACATACTATGTTTTGATAGAGCTGTCACATTCATTATCAGTTATGGAACCCACTGCTAGCTCTTAATCTGTGACAGGGTCTGGGTACACCATAGACAAATTACATTCTCTATTCCAGAATATGCCTTTTTCTTTATGATACAAAAAAAATCCACATATTGTTAAAATATCAAGGTAAACTGAAAGCTTTCATTCGTCACCGTAAAATCAAAAGCTCCTAAGAAACATCAGAATTATTCTGAGTAGAAATTACAGAGAAAACGGTGAGAGCCAAAATAATTTCCAACCTTCTATGCTCAAAACAAGCAAATATAACTCAAATCGGGTGTTACTCTAAGGTAGTATCAACAGTATCAAACAGAAATAATGGAAAAAGTAAAAAATCACTTCTCTTCAACTTCTAAACAGAAAACTGGAGCATATTGTAATAGGTAAGAAACAAAGTGGTTTTACTTCAATTTCACTTTGAAATGTGAAAAATGCTTTTTCCCCAAGATGGCAGCCAGGTGTGGGGGGGGCGGGGGAGAGGGACAACCAGGGAGCCAAAAATCCTTAAGATTGTGCCTCACATGAGAAATTCAAACAAATAAATGAAAAGCACACAAAGAGGTCTTCAGTTCAATTTCCAGAGAGTAGGTGGAAAATACAAAGTCTTCCATTGCTCAAATGCTGTGTTTTAGGAAACAGTTTCTACACATCTATGAATATCAAACAAAGCACATAAGCTAGTATGAAATTATAAGACACTTACTATTGTCTTTCATCTACCACTGCCTCCTGAAAGACCCTGGGTCTGAGTCTCAGCCAGTCCATGGAGACCTTAACTGCAGGAAGGGGATAGGCATTGTAGGACTCCTCCTGAGACTTGTTCTGGAGAGGACACTTGCACAGGATGCCAAGAAAAGACACTTAAAGAAAAAAATGTATTTAGAAAGCATAAGATATTTGAAACTATGTACCAGTCCAAATTAAACTATCATTATGAGCCTTATGCTGTAGCCTACTTAACACAAACACCTCATAGCTTTTTTCTAAAAAGGCATTTTTTCCCATGTTAAAAATGTTACAGGGTGCCTGGGTGGTTCAGTTGGTTAAGCGTCTGCCTTCGGCTCAGGTCATGATCCCAGGGTCCTGGGATCGAGCCCCGCATCGGGCTCCCCGCTCAGCGGGGGAGCCTTCTTCTCTCCCTCTCCCTCTGCTGCTCCCCCTGCTTGTGCGCTCACTCTCTCTCTCTGTCAAATAAGTAAATGAAATCTTAAATAAAAGATGTTACAGATATAGTTGATGAGGGGAATGTGAGTAGATAAAAGGATAGAACTTGGGGTTTAGGCCTCCTGATTCAATATTAGGACATATAGGACACATTTTCATATGTCACTAGTACTCTGTTACAATGATGAAAATGCCTAGGATTATGCTTTCTGAAGAAGAGTAAATGATTTAATACTTACTAAAGAGGGCCAGCAACTGTGTCCAACACAGCTGCTCATCTTGGCTGTAACTATGCTGCTCCGTTTCATTGCTAAAGTCACGAAGGTGATGAAGTTGAAACAGGTTAATGACAGTGACGTGAACTAACTGCTGAGAGTTGAAAGCTTTTTGGAATAGCAGCCTCTGTAAAAGACAAGAGAAATACGCATATATTATCAAGAACAGAAGCCACTTTCCACACAAGAATTAAACTGGTGGTCTGCATTTAGCCACATGACTAACAGAGCTATGGATGAATAAATGCCTCCACCCTTAATCCCAGGATTTTAATCGAGTCTGATGTGGTCTGATGTTTCTCATGCTGACTCTTTGCCTTGAAAGGAATTAGCCCAGACACCACAGAGCTCTTTGAGCTGTTTTTCACAATACTTTTCCCTGAGAAACTGCGTATTTTTTAATATGATGAGGAAAAAGTTTTGGGCATCAGTTAATAAATGTATACATCTTAATCCATCAGAAGTGGTTTTATAAGAAATGCATACATAGTAAAACATTAAGTTGGAACCAATGACTAGAAAGAAGATGTACACAGTAAAAAGGAAAATTTCAAACTAAAAGACTAAAAAATGTTTTTGAACTGTTGGTCATATGTACATAAGTTATAAGTAAAGTATGACTTCCAAAATTTGTCATAAAGTTTACTCTTTCAAAGGCTTGACACAGTTAAAGAAACTTACTTATAAATGAGGTTGATAGCAAGAACCTACTTTGGAACACAGGGTAAATAATATACTAAAACAATTAATAATGTGTTATAGGCAACTTCTACAAATTATAACACTGACATTTTCCCCTTTTAGAAAAGCACATGCATGATCTTCATCATTAAATTTCTTTTATTTAATAACTACATGGTGTTCATAGCAACCTGCTAACCAGGTTATTATAAGAAAGAAATCACTTACTATGCTCTCAGCTGTGGCTACAACTTAAGCACCCTTCTACCTTAGCATCTGCAGTAATTTTAGCTTATTCCCATATAAAATATTTTTCAAACGCAAGTCCTAACCAAACTGATAGCTACTAGAGATGATATCCTGGCTTCACCCTACATTTAACCTAGAGCCAACCTCCTTCCCTCTCAGGAAATGGATACAAGTGGGGATTCACTGTCACTAGCCTTATGGTGGGAAACAGATAACCTTAATTACAGTTCTACCAGCAGTGAGGAGATCCTACCATCTCAGAAATTTAGAGCTGCCTTTGTCCAGCTCCAAAGATTTTTTTTTTCTATTTATATAAAGAACCTGAAATATCCAGAGTAAGTTTTATGATTCTATTAGCAAGGTCTTTTACATTATCATGGCAGAAAAGTACAATTCAATTCCACTTAAACTACTCTCTCTCTCAGCCTCCTTGCCATCTGCCATTCCAGCATATACATCTAGAATGCTTATTCCTTTTCCAAAGGCATCAAGCATTTTTCTTTCCTTTCTTTTTTAAAACATCCTGAAATCATATCTCTTCTTCAGATTTCTCCCATAGAAGTTCTCCTTCAATCTCTACATCCAACCTTTTAAATAAACTGACCATTTACACAAATACATAATACTGGCATAAAATGAGAATATTAGCTTGTATTTTTCAAAAAGCATTTTTTCCTTATGAGTAAAATTTAACAATGTATCTACTAATCCACGGGCATTTTATTTTAGATGGCAATACCCAATAGAAGACAATCACAGCCCTTTAAGGGATTGTCTACTGTATGCACAGAAACATTAATGCATGAGTGCAGCCTAAGTACTAGCAAATGATAATGTAAAATTTCACGAAAGCACAGACTTTGTCTTCTTCTCCCTTCTGTCTCCAAGAGCCTAGAAAAGTGTATGGTACACAGTAGGTACTCAATAAGTACTTAGTGAAGGCATAACCCACACCTTTGTAAGTAAATGTGTAACTATTTGGTTGTAATTTCATAAAATTTAGACTGCACTGTAGTAGTAGAGGCCTCACCAGGACAAAATCAGATCGGAATTGACACACTGTTACTCAAAGATGTTTTCAAGAGCCGTTGAGGAATATACTGAGCTAAATACCATCAAAAAACAGCACACAGTCTCATTTCCTAAACCCCAGGCCTTAAATATTTCAATAAACCTCAACCTACGAGCTAATGATTTCTAGTTAGACACATTGAAGTTTACATGTAGATGATACTAATCATCTACATACACTTTAGAATTTAAAATTTCATTCCAACAATGTTCTTCTGATGTTTCAGAAATGAGTAAAGTTTAAAATAGATCTGCCTCATACTATGTTTAACTTCAGAGTGTTGGAATGATACTTCAAAGTCTATTTACAACTGCCCACATAAACCCCCCACAACTTTATATACAGAAATACATATTTGAGAGGCACCTGGGTGGCTCAGTCAGTTAAATGTCAGACTCTTGGTTTTGGCTCAGATCATGATCTTGATCATGATCTCAGGGTCCTGAGACTGAGCCCCAAACTGGGCTCTGCCCTCAGTTGCTCAGGGTGGAGTCGCTTGTCCCTGCCCCTCCCCCCAGCTCAAGTGCATGCATGTTCTCTCTCAAATAAATACATAAAATCTTTAAATATATATATATATTTGAAGAGAATATCAGTGTTTGAGGTTGAATCGAATGCAAAATGACTAGATTTTAGACCAGAATAACTTACATAGAGAAGATTTCATTAAGGTAGGATCCTCCTCTCTCCCCACTTAGGGAGTATATCTTTCATAGACACAGAGCCAGGACCAATCTCAAGAGGTCATCTGGTCCAATCCCCTGCTATTTTACAGAACTGTACCTAAACCATCCAAGAAAGATGGCTGTCAACCTGACTTTTAAGTCCTCAAAAGAGAGAATCCCCAGCAACCCCCTATGGATCTCTTTTTTAAGATTTAAGATTTAATTTCAGTTCTGATCTCAGAAAAGACAAAGATAATTTATTTTAAAATAATCCTTCATATATCTGAACACTTAAAATAAAACTATTTAGATTTGTTTGTTCTGTCCAGGCAGAAGAGCTTAGGACATAAAAATTAGCTGTTCCTTTCATGCACCCGACTCTATAAATCATGGGCTAAAAGTTTAAATAGGCCACCAAAAGAAGCAGAAAACAACAGGGGACTCTAAAGCTTATTTTAAAACAAACTATTTCTCTTATAGTTATTTAGTACAATCTCTTATACATAAAAAGTGTCAACTGCAAAAATGATTATCTGTAAAAACTTCTTCACGTTGACTATATTTGGTTAATTTATGTCTCTTAAGTATCTAAGTTCTACAATCTCTGGAATGTGTTACTTTTATAATACTTATAAAACTGTAAGGCAGTTATAGACAATTCCCCATGTTTAGATACCCAGAAATAACCAAGTAATATAAAATGTTCTTTAGACGGTCTTGTTCGCTATTGATCCCAGTGGCTAAAACAGTGACTGACACAACAGGCAGTCAAATATTTGTTGAATAAATGAATTAAAAATAAAGTTAGTATTTAATCTTGACTCCTGCCATATTTTACATATTATACTACATCTAAACTGTTAATTTAATATACTAATAAAAGATCATTTTCATATGAACAAAGGTTACTTAATTTTATCTCCTTACACAAATTAGTAAAATACAGTCCTGTTGAATGAAATTCTTATTCCTTTCCTTTGAACTACCACAAATCCCAATGGATCAAAACACAGTGAGAATAAAGAACTAGGTTTACAGAATGGAAATATTATAAAGTAGGTATCAGAAGCCTACCTAAGAATATAAAAACCATCAAAAGTAGTACTTTCAAAACTGAGAAAGAAAGGTGCTTGATTTGAGAAGGAAGGAAGGAGGAGTTGTTTTTTCCCACTTTGGTACCTTCTGCCAAATGGCAGCTACTTAGTGAAAACACTGCTGCGATGTTTCTCTGAAGACGGTATCTCTGTTTAAATTGAGGGGATGCTGTATGCAAGAATTCCATATGCTTCAAATTTAATTTTACCCAACAGTTCACAGTTAAATAATGACATAAAAACTAGAAGTCAGCTTCCCCCAAATCTTATGCTTCCTGAATGAGACAAGACAAAAAATGCCCTATTTTTAAAATCTAACCTTAAACTGTTCTTCCAATTTCTCTCGAAGAGGGCTCAACTTTTCCAAGCTCTTACTCAGGTACACATGACCATGGAATTTAATAAAGGCCTTGATGAAGTCAGAAACACCCCATTTGGTTTTCACCTCATCCCGGCTGAAATGAAAGAAAAATTTTCATGAATCTTAAGCAGCAAAATGGCTAACACCTCTTAACAGAGGTTTCAGTCTGCAAAAACACATTATTTGAGCACCTGATACACAAGGAGAGGATTCGGCATCTAACTTTTCATCTGCAACACACTCAGATGAGTCATCAGTATTCAGCAGCCTGTACTCCTCTACTAGGAACAGATCAGATGCAGACTGCTTGAAACTCAAGCAACGACTACATGCAAAACTATTAAAATATATCTGTGTTTTTAGAAATTGGGCAAACAGAAGCGAAACACAAGTAACTATTAGTTCTTGCATGCCCAAATTTGACAGGTTAAGGCTACCAGATTACACCAACTCCTCTTGGAAAAGTCAACCCTACCTTTCCAGTGCTTTAGAAAGTGCTTTTTGTAGATTAGTGGAGGCAGCTGGGAAAGGAAACTTCACAGCGATGCTTCTGCAGTAGTAGAAAATTGTAGTCAGATGGTCTCCTTTGGAAGAAGCTAAGATAGCCAACTGATTATAAGGCTGACCTAGAGGAGAAAGTGAAGATTCTAAAATCACCCAAGATGCACAATCTTGCCATCAGAATACAGATGATCAATTTTTAAACCGTTAAATTAATAATGGGGAGTATTTTATAAAGTAAATCTCATGATTACCTCATTACAAATGGGCATAATTTAAAATAGCACACTCCCACCACAGCACATACTATGTTTAGGTTAGAAAGCACGTAATAAGGGAAGAAAGCACTATTAAGTTTAAATAAGACTTTAGAAAGGGCTAGACAACAAATCTTTTTGGCTTTTTGGGCCTAAGAGTCTCTATGGCCACTGCAGCAGGAAAGCAGCCATGGCCAATAGGAAACCGTGCGTGCACTGCCACCCCTGCTTCAAAGGGGCTCCTTTCAGAATCAAGAATTTCAGTATGGCTTAACACAAGAATCACTGCTAATTCCGATTCTGAGGTCATCAAAAGACAAAAGCCCTGTCTTTTAGGTAATAAAAAAATAAATTTTCTAGTAAGGAAATGGTAGTATTAAGAGATAATTATTCTATAAGTAATTAAGGAAGCCAGAGTTGTTGAAACATTTTTAGATCACATTAGGAGATATTCTATTTATACTGGTTTACTGACAATAATCTTATTAAAAAAAATTCATTTCTGGTTATATAGAATATACATTTAAAAGAGTATGACCACAACTCCAAATCAATCAATACCAAATCCCCAAAACTCAATATCAAAACCCCAAAATCTTTTGCTTTCATAAAACTTGGAAGATGAGCCTTGAGTTATTTTCCATATTGTTATAAAGTCATCCACAAGTTGACATAAGAGGCCCACTCACCATTAGAGGGGACAAGCTGAGCTGCATGCCTATAGTAGGATTCTGCCTGGCTGGTCTGGTTTCTGTATCGAGCTGAGAGGAGAAAAAAGATAATTTAGTTTAAAAACAAGCAAAGTAATGAAAAAAAAAAACTAGTAGGGTAATATTTCCAAAGCAACTATAGTTTTCAGTTCTAAAGATAATAAACACATTAAAATTAATTTAAGATAATTAAAGACAGGAAATACTTTAAAACAAATTAACTATAGGATTATGTGTGAAGTGTCCATCTGGCCTTCCCTATTTGGGACATTCAGCATGTAACCAATGTTAAAGCTTACCTAGCCCCCATTTTCAGGTCCTCCAGTGTCATGCATCACCAGCTCCCACTATGGACTATGCTGGTGACCTGGAGCCGGCCCACAAGAAGGGGTGAGTTATATGGCACTTAAAAACAAAACAAAACAAAAAACACTATACAATATGATCTGAAAGTTATGTATTTCTTCAATATCTTATAAAGTGATTTTGAAAAATGTCTCATACCTACTGCAATATTAAGTATGTGTGTGTACAGGAACACTGAAAGCAAAAACAACCTAAATACACTACTCACTGAATCTCCGTGCAGAACTTGGTGCTTACTTTGATGTGATCCCTCACGGAGGTCAATGATTTATGACATCAAGAAATCTAAAATCTTTGAACTTAAAGCAGTGATGTTCTCCATTCCTTGTTATTTTAGGACAGTTGAAACATAATCCTATAGTTAATTTGTTTTACAACCTTTTTAGGTTAGCCTTAAAGGGATGAACAAGGGTAAGTTACAGAATACTCCCAGATAAAATATATAAAATAGAAATACAAATTTAACTGTAAAAAGGAAACAATTTAAAAAGAGGTTTTAATACACTGATAGGAAGGAAAGAAGACAATCTAGCTTCAGAAGGAGTAACTTATAAACCCTGCAATTCCAAGAGTACAGACTTTTAATTTAGAAGATATTATGGCACCACTTTGAAAAATTTAGCTTTATTTACATTTTTGCTATTCATTTGCCTACATCTGCATGAGTCTGAATAAAACTTAAATCTTAACATGAAAGCTGACACCTTCAAGATCCTTTGCCAATCCCAAAATATTGAGAAAATTTAAGTTCTTTAATATCCATTTTACAGTTTCCTCTTATAACTATCTAAATTGTGTGTGCATGCTCAGTTTGAAGGAAAAGAGTTTCCTTCTATGACTACTCCAAAGAAAAAGATGACTATATTAGCGATTCCTTCACACCAAAGGCTCACCAATGTCTCCAAGGTGGACGAGGCAGTGCTGGCAGATATAGGAACAGGAGCTAGACTGTGGCTTCACTATGGCGCTGGTATGCGTCTGTTTATTGCTGATAATTCCCAATTGGGAAGACTTCACACGGCATGGTAAATCTACATTAAACACTGTACATAGTTCTTGTAATAACTACAAGGAAAACATGAACAAAATTTAGTGGTAAGTCAGAAGTGATCTAACAGTAAAGTTTGTACACTTTAACATGTGTACCTCATATCATATACAATTGAGACCTGAGCAAAGACTCAAAGAAAATAGGATCAGATAACTGGTTACATTTATTATAAATCATATCTTTTAAATTCTCAAGTATTAGAGCAATCTAGAATGTGCATCTAAAAGGAACAGAGGGGGGACACCTGGGTGGCTCAGTCGGTTAAGCATCTGACTTGATTTTGGCTCAGGTCATTATCTCAGGGTCTTGGGATCAAGCCCATGAGTTGGGCTCCACACTCAGCAGGGAGTCTGCTTCTCTCCCTCTGTCCCTCCCTCTTTCTCTCAAATAAATAAGATCTTTAAAATAATAAAAATAAATAAGTAGAAGGAACAGCAGGGCACCTTGGTGGCTCAGTTAGTTAAGTATCTGGCTCTTGATTTTGACCCACGTAGTGATCTCAATGGTCCTGAGATGGGCCCAGTGGTGGGCCCGGCCCTCAGCAGGGAGTCTGCTTGGGATTCTCTCTCTCTCTCTGTCCCACCCCCCTTCTAAAATAATGAATAAATAAATCTTTAAAAAAATAAAAGGAACAGAAACATTATTTAAAAAGACTTCACCTAAATAGGGTATTCATTCACATTCAACAAGCAATTCCGAGAAATCATCTATCTAGTATTCCTCTTAGGAAGACATAAAAACCAGGGCTCTTGGGTGGCACAGTCGGTTAAGCGTCCGACTCTTGGTTTCAGCTCAGGTAGTGATCTCAAGGTCATGAGATCGAGCCCCACCTCAGGCTCCTCACTCAATGAAGAGTATGCTAGAGATTCTCTCTCCCTCTCCCTGCCCCTCCCGCTTATGCTTACCCACTCTACCTCCCTCTCTCTCTCTCAAATAAATAATCTTAAACACACTCACACACACAAAACATTAAAGATTGGGTGGTTACAAATATGACTTAAATGCAAGCCAATGTATTTGTCAGACTTTAGGAATTCCCTGAGATAGACAGATTGACAGATTGATTTTTTAAGTAGGTTCCATGCCCAAAATGGGGCTTGAACTCACAACCCTGATATCAAGACCTGAGCTAAGATTAAGAGTCTGACGCTTAACCGACTGAGCCACCCAGGTGCCCCCTTGAAATTTATTTTCTTAAGCCCCAGGTCAGTTCATATCTTTGCATACATAACAGATCTCATGGTATTACAGATCTGGAAGGGACTTCTGACATTATACAGACCACCCATTTTTTCCTCCTTTCTCCTTTCGTCTACTAAAGGTACCTCCTCCTGGTCAGAACTAACTCCTCTGTCTGAGCATACCTATTTCATTCTTGTCTGCCTCCTGTATCATCCTCTCACTTTCTTAAATTTACTTTCAGTTTCTCATGCTTCTTTGCTGTGACCTACAAATATCAAGCATCATCTACAGAAAACAATAAAACCCCCAAACCAAAACACTCTCCCCCTTGACCTTAGATTCCTTCTCCAGCAACCTTCTAATGTCTCTTCATCTTCTTACCAAACTCCTTCAAAGTAAAAGCTATCCGCTTTCTCAATTCCTATTCACTCCTTAATCCATTATGATCTGCCTTCTACACAAACTCTTTTCCCATCCCACCACCTGCCACCACTCTACTGAAACTGTTGTCCATATGACAACCAGTTATCTAATAAGCAAATACAATGGACACTTTTCAGTCATCATCTTATTGGACCTCTTTGTTGCATTTAAAACAGTTGACCTTATGGCTGATCACTGAGCTTTGCTAGTTGTTTTGTTTTGTCTTACCAATCATTCCTTTTCAGTCCCCTTTATTCAAAGGCTTTTCTCCCCCCACCTTGCTCCCCAAGGGTTTCATTCTTGGCCCCCACACAGTTCTTTGCATTCTACTTTCATTTATTCAAATATTTACTTACAAATATATTCATTCAAATATTTGGTTACCATGGTAAGCAACAGAGATAAGAAAATCTACCTTCTTAAAGAACTCACAGCCAAATGAGCAAGACAGGTAAATAAAGTGGGGGTGGGGGAAGGGAAGGGGCAGAGAGCGGCAAGTGATATCAAACACGATAGCTAGCACAAGCCAACAGAATAATCTACATCTATAGTCACTATTATTTCTTAGGTTATTTGATACACTTGTCTCACTTATCCTTGTGATAAACTAGTAACAATATAGTATATGTAGTTATAAAGCTCCATTTTTTCAGATGAGGATATGAAAGCAACAGAAATATCATGTGATCTAAGTTACAGAATTAGAAATACCTTGATTCTATCACCACCCTTTCTAACATGGGCAGAATTCAAAATATAAAATAAGACATCCTCAGGACCCCACTCAGGATCTGAAATGTCCCACCCTTTTCCTAAGTTAAAAACCACTTTCATAACCAAATACAAGTTCTGTATACCCTTTCTTATTAAGCATAGAAATTATCTATTTCAGCTTTACTTACACCTATACATTTGTGATGGGCAAGAAATTTGCTGACATCAAATTAGGTAAACAAGTTAAAGCCCAGAATGGCTAGAGTCAGGAAATATAAAAGGCAAGAAATAACAGGAAAGGAACAAAAAATGGAAGAAACAAAACAAAACAAACAAAAACAAAACCCCCACACCCAAACCATATGATTGTAGAAGATGACAAGAAGAAACATGACAGATGGTGGAGAATGGAGTTCAGTAGCTACTGAAAGGACAGACTGGAAAATTAGGCAAGACTGAACATCTATCAAGAAGAAAAAAGAATGCTCATGAAAAGTAAATCAAACATGGCTTGGAGCATCATGTGTAATGTCTCCAATAAAATTTTGCCTGAACCCAGGGGCTGTAGATGAAGATACCAGAAAAGTTCCTGCTGACTCAAAGATTCTGGGTGAGAGATGTCTAGTGGGTTTAGAGGCAGAAACAAGGTGGCACTGAAGAAGAGAAAGAGATGTTTCATAAGTTGAGCAGAACTATATTTGGCAATTATTCTGTGAAAACTCTGTATTAAACTATTCCACTGCTCCTTAGCTCTTCACCCTATGCCAAGAATGGAGAACTAATGATGAAGGTACAGAATACCACCTTTTAAATTACTACAGAAACTTAATAATACTTTCCTTTTGGCTCTCACTTTTTTAGAGTAACAACTGTTCGGTTCTTTCATGTTTTCAAAAAACCTATAGCAGAATGTTACACCTTTACTTCGGGAATTTCGTTCTGGCTTGAGGTACCATGCTTTAAATGGCTCACAAAATGACAGCTAAGAAGTAAAAACCATCTTCACAGAAAATATAACTTAGGATGACATGTATCAGTCTCTTCTCAATCCACTTCAATTAGATTTCTATCCCCACCACTTTACCAAAGTCACATTGCACCAAATCCAAGATACCATAAATTATAAGATGAACTATTATTTATCACAACATTGAGAGAGAAAAAATACTGCCAACTGAACAGTGGCTTACAATCTTTTGTGAACTTATCCCTGGTTTTAGAGATGTTAAAATATGAAAAATATTTTGGAAATGAAGAAATACAGTATTTGTTAATGTCACCAGTGACTTCCATGTTGTCAAATCTAATTGGTCACTTTTTAATCATCTTACTTGACTTCTCAGTAGCACTCAACAGAGTTGATCACTCTTACTCCTTACTGAAATGCTTCTCTCTTGGCTTCTAAGTCACCAGTGTCTGATTTTCAACTCTTGCAATGGTGGCTCCACTTGTGCTAACCTGTTCTCACCTAGTCCTGTGGTTTTTAAAATTTATTTAGTTAGTTGGTTAGTTTCAGAGGTAGAATTTAGTGACTCATCAGTTGCATATAACACCCAGTGCTCATTACATCATGTGTCCTCCTTAATGCCCATCACCCAGTTACCCACCCCCAACCCCCCAACCCCTCCAGCAACCTCAGTTTGTTTCCTAGAGTTCAGTATCTCTTATAGTTTGCCTCCCTCTCAATTTTCATCTTACTTTATTTTTCGTTCCCTTCCCCTATGTTCCTGTTTTGTTTCTTAAATTCCACATATAGGTGAAATTATATCGTATCTGTTTTTCTCTGACTTATTTCGCTTAGCATAATACCCTCTAGTTCCATCCATGTCGTTGCAAATGGCAAGATATCATTCTTTTTGATAGCTGAGTAATATTCCATTGTATATATATGCCACAACTTCTTTATCCATTCATCTGTCAATGGGCATCTGGCTCTTTCCATATTTTGGCTACTGTAGACATTGTTGCTATAAACACTGGGGTGCATGTGCCCCTTCAAATCATTATGTTTGTTAGTCCTGTGGTTTTAAATACCAAACACTAATGTCAGACTAAGTCAGGGTTCTTTATTGTAATCATAAAATTTACTCCAGCCCTGACCTTTGTACTGAGTTCCAAGTTTGTTTATCTAATTTCCTATCTGACACCTGCACTGAGATCTCAAATAGCCTATCTCATTTAACACAAACATAGTTGCTTTCTCTACAGTACTCCCCATCTCAATAAATGGAACAACCAGTCATCTAGCTGCTCAATCTGATAACTCAAGTCACCTGATAATTTTTCCTCTACCCTGATTTCACATATCCAATCTGGTCCATCAGCAAGTCTATTGGCTATTCTTCAAAAATCCATCAATTGTTTTCTATTACAGGGGCATCCTAATTAGCTTCCATTCCTGAACCCCACTAATTCATCCTCCATACAACAGCCAGGATAATCTTTTAAAAATGCAAACTTTATTATGTTACTCCCTAGCCTCCTTTCCAATGGCCTACAACTACACTTAAAGATTAAAATTCAAAACTTATTTGGCCTGTAAGGTTGTACAATGATCTGGACTTGGTCTATTCCCTCAATCTGGTGGCTTAATCTGCACTGCATGTAATCAAAAAAAATGTATAAAACATTACTGTTAGTAACACCATTAACTGTTTCAATGATCAAACCAAGACAAGATAAAAATGCAAGTAAAAAGTCCTATTAATGCTAATATCTGAAAAAGTTTATTAACGCTCATTCTACCATTATTGTAATTGCTCAACCACTGCCTAAAGAAAGCAGGTGAAGAAAAATCATTGACTATAAAACTTGGAAAAAATAAATTTCAAAATTAGATCACTCATATATTTTCCTTATAAAATAATTTGAATGATTTTATTATTCCTCTGCCCATAATTTTTTTTTTTTATAAATACCATGCTCCCTCAATAAAAATGATGATTCTTGCTTCCTTCCTTGCAGATTTGGTTCATCAATGTGCAATTAAAACTTTGGAAATGTGTTACATATATATTACATCTTAAAAAAGGTCAAGAATCATGTTTCAAAGTGACAAACCAAACTATACAATGGCTATTATAAAAATGCATCGCAACATGGGGATGCCTTCCCTCACCCCCCACCAGCGCCCCTACTTGGAGCCCCTACTGCTCCTCCTACTTCAGCTGTGTTCATTCACAATCCAGGTTCTACTGCATAGGGAGGGGAAGGAAAACAGATCTGAATCAGAATGAGACTGGAGTTTTAAACCTAGACTAGGTTTCAAAAACGGAAAGGCAACCAGAATGTTACGGAATCTTTCTAAGAAGTTATGATGGAAATCTGGAACTCGACAAAGCATAGCTGAAAGTAGTGATGGGGGGAGGGAGGGACGACTATATGGTCAGGGTTATGAGTAATATTCCACTGTCTATATATGAGTAATATTCCATTGTATATATATATGTACTTCTTCTTTACCCATTCATCTGTCGATGGGCATCTGGCTCTGAGACTTCTCAACATACTGAGTCAAACTGTATACATAATTTTATATGATTTTTCACCCAATACAATTTTTCATCATCTTAAAAAATCTTCATAAATATCACTTATAATAGTTTCATGAATTTCCATTTTACAGATATGCCATAATTTATTTAATCATTATGCTATTGTAAGATATCAGTGTTATTTTCAAGTTTTATGATTTAAATTATAATTTATATCTATTTGTTCTTTTACATATAAATATTATTGTCCTTATTAAATATTCACTGATCTACAAAGAAAAAAACTATATTACAAAAAAAAAAACAACAAACCTGGTAACGTTAGGAAGCTCTAAATAAAATGAAAAAACAAAAGAAGAAACTGGAGATATTTGCCAAAAATAATAGAAAAGAATATCTTTCATGTATAAAGAGCTCAGAAAAATCACCATGGAAAAAACAGGGTCCAAACAATGAACAGGAAAAGTAAATAAATGATTTATATAAAATACAAGCATCTAATAAAATATGAATAACAGTTCAACACTAGTAACCCAGACATTAAATTTTAAATGAAAAATTATTTTCCATTTATTAAATAGGAGTTATTCACTTACTCATTTACTTTTACTGAGAACACTTAATGCTAGCAAGCATGCATCAACACAGACACTTGCATGGTGGAAATACAATACTGCTGATGGAAATACAAAAATATAAATGATAATCTTTTGGGAAAACAATGTGTATCAACAGTTTTAAAATTTCATTCATCCAGTGATTTTATTCATCATCCAGTGAAGAACTGTCATCATGAAATAATCCAATATTAGAGAAAATGCTTTATATACAAAGATGTTTATCAAACTGTTTAAGTTTAACAATACAAGGGAAAATTTACATTATGTTTATAAAGCAGGTATAAGACTGGATATGTACAACTATGTATAAAATTACTAAAACACCAGAAGGATATATACTAAAGTAGTAATTTATCCTGAATGGGAGAATTAATTAAAAAATATTTTATTTTTGTGTAATTTCCAAGTTTCTTGAAACTAGTATGCATTATTTTTATAATCAGAAAGCAAAAAGAGTATCTATTAATGTAGCCATCTCTTCATTTAGACTGGATGTTCCCTTAAAGGAAAAAGACTCTTTTCCCTCCATATCCTCAGTATCTGTATTGTACCTTACAAATAGTAGGCTTTCTTTTTTTAATTTTTTTTTTTAGATTTTTATTTATTCATTTGAGAAAGAAAGAGACAGAAGGAGTACAAGCAAGGGGAGAGGCAGAGGAAGAAGGAGAAGCACACTCCCTGCTGAGCTGGGAGCCGGACATGGGGCTCAATCCCAGGACCTGGAGATCGTGACCTGAGCTGAAGGCAGATGCTTAACCATCTAAGCCACCCAGGCGCCCCAAAATAGTAGGCTTTTAAAAGCCACTTGTGGAATTAATTAATCTCTAACATCTGTTTTAAGGACTATTTAGTGGCATACCACAATCCCTCTCTCCAGAAGTATCGACTGCTACTGTTAGAAGTTGGCATCCGTTTGAAAATGAATTTTGAGAATAAGAATCATACTTGAGTTCTTTCAATAATGAACTGTGAAGAATGTTTTAGTTTAAGTAAAACAAATAATCTCTATATGATGTTGGCTGGCTATGGGACAACTTCCAACACAAAGTCTTTTCTTTTCCTTTGTTCAAAGAAATGATATAACCAAAATGGAGCCAAAATACAGGTAGCAATGATCAAGAAGCAACACAGAGAGAATGGCCAAACATTAATCCAAGATCTTCAAAACCTCATCTCATAAATTATACACATTTTGTTAATTAAATTATGAATGCTACTACAAATGGATAAGATGAAATTTTCTAAAAGATTCTGCTTAAAGAAAATTCACTGTTCAAAAGATTTATTGTTTTGCTTTTTTTAAAAAAAGATTTATTTATTTGAGTGAGAGAATGAGTGATAGGGAAGGGGAGAGACAGTGAGAAGCAGACTTCCCACCGAGCAGGAAGAGCTATGTGGGGCTCAATCCCAGGACCCCGAGATCATGACCTGAGCCAAAGGCAGACACTTAACTGACTGAGCCACCTAGGCGCCCTGAAGATTCATTTATTCTTTTACCTTGCCTGACTTAGAAGCTATAGCAGGATGTAACCAAGGACAAGATAAGTCTCTGAGGATGATAAATAATGGCTTATTATTAAAATGGAGAAAAATCTACTCCATTTCTTAAGTAGCTTAATAGCATTTAAAGCCCCAGATAAATTCTACTGAAATGAAAACTCACTTGACTATCACAAATTTTGACGATTTCTTGCCCAGTACAACACAGCTGTTACTTTCATAATGATTATACGCATATGCATAAATTCACATTTGTTCTAATACCATTTATAACTGACTACTTCTGCTGTTTCACTAAGACATGGTGTTTCTACTCATTACCTTTTTTCTACTCACACAATTATACCTCCAACCTTTAAGCCAAAACATCAACCTTTTTCAGTTGAATCTTTATTGTTTGAAAGGTCTTATGGTAAACAATTTGGGATTCATGTGAGATTATAGGTGATCAACTCCTGGATGGCGCACATAGTGGTAACAAAAAGCGTTTATATGAACAACAAGACATGTACAAAGAACATTCACAACTATTTCTAGAAGAATTGGTATACAATGCAGAACTCACCTGAGTATAGAAGCCACTAGCTGCCTCTAGGAACAGAGAAAGGTTTGCCTGAACTTCACTCCGATTCGGGTTTGCTCGATTCTTTGCCTGGCCTTGTAGTGTTGTGATCTGATTCTTAAAGGCATGATTCCAGCTGAAAACAAAATGTAATTCTATTTGGTATAGCAGTGACTCACTGGGCAGACACTGGTCCCCCTGAGAACAAGAAAGAACTGTTTGTTATAATTATAACTAGACAGTAAACCTGCATTAAAGTTATTCACTTATTTAAATAACTTTATGCTCCTCTTTGAGCAAGACTAGACATGCAGTAGAATCCAACTGACCTTAGTAAACACTTACCAAATGTTCAAATAATCAGACTGTGGCTTCAGTTATTAATCTTTTAGAGCTACTAGAGTTAGAGCCTATTTAGGAATCCCAGTACAAAAACAGAACTACAGTGGCAAGACCAAAGTAAAAGTAAGCTATTAATGAACCGCCATGTATTATGCGAAGAAATAATTCTTTTTGAAAATTCTTTTTAAAAATGTTAAGCCATATCTCTTATTTCCATAAATTCTATTTCCCACAGTACTCTGTTCTAATTCTATTTAATACTTTTATTTCTCTTGGGGTTAATATTTTCTTGAGAGCTTGAAATATAAGCTCATTTTTTTGACATTTCAATTCTGGCTATTTAAAATAGGAAAAAATACAATGCTGAAATATGGCATACCAAAATCCTATTATAAAATGTCTTTCATTAATCAAGTTGTATAGAGAATCATTTTAAATTCAGTTATGGTGAAATACGGTCATTCCTTAACTTGTAAACCACAGGGGGGAAAATGGAACTAGGATGGAGGGGGAATATTATTGCCTTGATTAAAGGAAGCAAACACAGAAAAAGGTCTACAACCTACCTGGAAAGTACTAATTCTTTATAAATGTCAACTGTGAGACTCAAGAGCACTGGGTGTTTTTAATGGTATATGAGGACAATCACTCCCTCAGCATTTTTGATGACATTTTATCCGTGATCTAATATCATGGAAATGGATTTTGAGTGGCTGTGATTAAGCTCTTTTATTACTAGAACTCCTAAAAAATATAAAGTATCTAAGAAAGGTGTAAAAGACAGGAAAAACTAATTTTCACCACAACTTAGGGTAATAGCCATTACTAAATAGAATATTCTTAACTGATTTTTAATTTTCCATCAGCCTAATATCCCTGTTCCAATTTATAAGGCAAGGCCTTCCACAAAAGGCATTTATTTACTCACTTGGGAATCTGGTCATCTGTCATTTCACCTCTCATAGAAAGAACAAGTGGAATAGCCTAAATATACAAAATCTTTCTTTAGTCTTATTAGGGGGGAAAAAAAAGGAAATACCTACTTATTTTATAAAAGGAAGAACTTCCCTTACAATGCAAACATATTTTCCTTTGGGAGAAATTCATAGAATCACATTTACCAAAGAAGATTTATCTAAAGCTTACTATTGAACTTCTTTTTTTAGTCATGGCTTAAATGCAGGACTGAACACATACAGAGAATCCAAACACCATTTCTTAGTACTTGAAATATATATAGATTTGTTTTTATGATATGCCCTAAAGAGACCTTAAAAACATTCAACTCCAAGCATTTCTCCTCTTGCCACCCAAGACTATCTGAAGTAATACCAATGGTCAAATGTTTTGTTCAAAAAACCCACAGGTGTAAGGATTTTTTTTTTTTTTTCATTGAAAGAGCTTACTCTGAGATAGGTTAAGAAGAAATAACCAAATTGTTCTTTTCTATCCTAAAGTCTTGGTGATATCTTGATCTTACAGGGACATCCCAAATGATAATACTTACAGATCCTGTTCTACTTTCTTGTCTAAAGCGTATTCCAAATCAGTAACTAGCATTTTCTGGTACAGGTCCTGCAGAGCCTGTCTGGATGTCCAGACCTCAGCTGGACCCAGCTTAGAATCTGAGTAACAAAACAAAGACAAAACAGTAGGTAGATAGAAAAAACAGATAGTTAAAATCATTATACCACACCAATGACTCCTTCCGTGTCCATTTCCCAAAGCAAACACCTGCTTTAAGTAGATACCATAGATTGCTGCAGTAGTTTTATACTACTACATTTTCAAATGATTTTCACCTTTTGGCTAATGACTAAATCTGGTTTGAAATGTTTCTGCATTTGTCTTTTAGCTTTGAAATAACACCATGACATGTAAGGACATGAATGGTGCACGCTTTGCTTTAGTTTGGACTTCTATGTATTCATGTCATAGGAAGTCCTACGCCTCAGAAGTCACCCCATTTAAAATGACAGACTGCCAAGATGGTCTGTTTACTCTTATAACTGTATCTCTTTGTCCGAAGCAGCTTTTTTCTTTTTATTTTGAATCATTCTCACAACTGTCCTTACAGAATCTTCATGTCTGCTCACAATCCTGCAGTTGTTTGCACATTCTACTGTTATTCATACTCTATGTCAACCCAATAAAGCCAAAAACAGTGTGGGTTATTTTAATGATTGGTAAATTGCTTGCCAAGAAATTCTGTGTGCAATCCACACTTGTCATTTAATGTAAATGACAATTCATAGCAGACATTGATTAAACTGCTCAAGAGGCCAAATAAGAGATTGGGTGCAAGATGAAAGGAAGTCAGGCTATGACTAAATGTAATACTCAATTGGGTATTACTGTCTGCCAGAGTCCTACAAGACACATTAGCTCCTCCGATTACTAGGTTTATGAGTGCAATAATTAATGGTGAGCTGCCTCAATAGAAGAACCGAATAGCAGACTTTTCAATTAGGCTTCTGGTTACATTTAATATTTTGCTGCAGCACAATGGCATAGTTTTTACTCTTCTTTAAGTCTACAAATAGAATCTCCTGGATATCTGAATTAATCCTCACAAGAGTTTGCTGGCTACAAAAAAACAGGGTGTAGTATCAGCTTCTTCGTCCCTTATTAGGTTTTTAATGACTAAATAAACAGATTTATAGATTTATCCAATCTTGTTTTGATTCATCGATGGCAGGGAAAGGACTATAAAGGATCATTAACTCTGATCTATTAGACAGACTATCATTTAAATTACTTAATATCCTAGTTAATGTTCTTGGGCAGTCAAATGTTCCTTATAAAAGACAAACTAAGCCTACTTACTGAGGGTATTCAATACTTAAGAAAAAGTAAAAGGTATAGCTAGCTTAATATTGCTCCACATATAACTTTTGTCACATAATGCATATTATGCCTAACAGGACAATACAAAAGCATAATACAGTAGCTTAGAGCTGACACTGATCTCCATAGTATGGAAGATGGTAACAGTCACATTAATAATGGGAGTACTGATATTACTTAATATGGTATTAAGTAAACCTGTTAAAAAGTGCTTTTAGCTTTTTCTTTTCCTTTAAGAGAGGATAATGATACTACCCATAAATTCTTAAAACATTAGTTATCAACATTTATATTAACATTAGACCGCAATGTTGAGAAAAAGACATCTAAAGACCCTATTTCTTCTTGATTATAAATTTTGGCCAGAATACTGGTTGTAATAGTTTAACTCTTCTTTAAGGATTTCACTTCAGAAATAAAGTTCTTAAAAATTAGAATGAAATCCATTTCTCTTTTTACATTTTAGGACAGCATATGCTGCTATAGAGAGCATACTGATCACTACAAAGTCATTGTCATATATTTCCCAATTTTGAAAAGCTGATCATCTGCTTCTTCTAGTGACTTCCAGTCATTCTTTCAAAAACACCTTGGTTATGTTTTCAAAACAAAAAAGGTAAGGGAGAAAAGAAAGGTGGCAAGGCAGCTCACTCAATTTCAAGGACTTTTAGTAGGGTTTTCCTACAAATATTTTTTCTCAAGGTCTATTTACTACACAAGTTTGGGGAATTATAAACAGGAAGACATGAACCTAAAACTAAGGTATTTTTGTTTATATGTATATGAATTCTCTTTTCTATGTCTTAAACTGATGATAAATAGTCCATAACAATTAAATGATTATATGCATTAAATTAGGTAGTATTTAATTCAATGTAGCACAGACTATATAAAATTCCTGATCATCTAAGTAAGAATTCAAAGTTCAGAAACAGTAATTATTAAAAGCAAATAGTAAGTTATCATTCCTTTTGGCAACTAGGACGGTCCAACAAGTAATAAAGATGAGACCCTTCCCTTAATTTAATGGTATAAAATAAGTGTGAAAAACAAATGAGCCAGCCAGTACCTGTCATGTCAGCCTTCAGGACTTCTGCCTGCCTAAAAAAAGGGAAAAAAGAACATCGATTAGAAACAAACTAGGCCTACTCGACATAAATAACACTGAAAGTTAAAAGTTAAGTGAAATCATATACTACATAAAGATATATAGCACCTTCATATGTGAGGGTAGCACTAGGTCTTGGCAAACTGATGCCATTACTTAAAAGTATACAGGGTCACCATGAATTCTATGAGCAGAGCTCACATTCTTCCTGTTTTCCTCCAAATCTGATATTTAAGATAACATTAAATGACATTCATTAAACAAAAAATTTTCCCTCAATGCAGCCAGGAAATCCTGTGTTTCTCAATTCACTAACCACTGTAACTATCTCAAACCCCCACTCTCCTCAGATGTTGATTTCTGACTTCTTCATAAGGCTAGCCCCGTATCTCAGCAAAAACAATGCCCAGCTGCCAAATCCTACATTCACACAACCCTTTTCTTTCTCCTGTGACAACACTGGAGGCACTGCATCTCTTATTTAAGACCAGTAATTCCACTTAGGTAGGCTCTTTCTGGACTTCCTTTATTAAGGACTTCTGCCCCTTTAATTATTCCCTCCCTCTTTCAGTAATTTTGAAAAGTTCCCTCTCTAGTGGATCCTTCCTTTTCTTCAGTATCTTAAACATGCCCAAGTCTTACACAGGTTTTTAAAAACCTTTCTGTCCTAGATTATCCTCCTCTCGCTGCTGCTTCTTTTCTCTCTCTCAAATTCTTCAAGAATTGCCTATATTCAAGAGGTCCAAAACTGAATTCGTGACCCACTGCCATTCTGGGTTCTCTTTCTGGTGTTTTTACCTTACCAAATGTATCACTGCTTTCTAGTTGTGAAAGGCAGATACCTGGAAGTCACCCATGACAACGTTCTCCCAAAACCCTGGTAATCTATCAACTCCAGATAATTCTACCAACTAAATATATCTTGAATCTGTTGATTTACCTTTACTTCTTCTTCAGCTCCTCTTACTCAAGTTCTGAACCATCTCTTCCCTGGACTAATGCAAAGCCACCAAAATTGTTTTCTCCATTTCACTCCTGCCCTATTTCATACTGTTCTCTCTGCTGCTATCTGAGGGACCTTTTAAAAATACAAATCTGAGGGGTGCCAGGGTGGCTCAGTTGGTTAAGTGTTCATGATCTGAGGGTCATAGGATCAAGCCTCGCCTTGCGCTCTGTGCTAGGTATGAACCCTGCTTCAGATTCTTGCTCTCCCTCTGCCCTTCACCCACCTCTAATAAAAAAATAAATAAAAATACAAATCTGATCTTACCAACTGCCCATTAAAACACTTTAATGATTTCCCACTGCTCTTAGGGTAAAAACTATAATCTTTACTAAAGTGTCCTACAGGGTTCCCTGCACTCTAAAAACTAAGAGTCTACACTCTGCTTCTACCATTACTCTCTTCTCTCCTTGATCTCTGTGCTCCAGTTACTGGACTTCCAGTTTCTGCAATGTGCTTTGCTCCCTTCACACTCAGGCCTTTGTAAAGAAGAATCCCTTCCCTAGGAATATCTACCTCCGCCTCCTTTGGTTAATTACGACTCACCCTTTGTCTCAGTCAGAGACATTACTTTCTCAAGAAATCTCACTTGACAAATGAAGGATATTCCTATTTTATGTTCTCAAAGCACTCATTTTTTCCTTCATAGTACATATCACAGACTTTAAGAATGCTCACCATCACAATCTATTAGCACATGCACCTAGCATACAGTAGGCATCCAAGAAATATCTTTTAAGTGAAGAAAGGAAAAAGGATACATCATGTTCATATACTCTAAAAAGGTATGTATATAAACTTATGAGATTTCCATGTCTTTTTTTTTTTTAGATTTTATTTATTTGAGAGAGAGAGAGAGCACAAGCAGGGGGAGGGCCGGAGGAAAAGCAGACTCCCTGCTGAACAGGAAGCTGGACATGGGACTCGATCCCAGGACTCTGGGATCATGATCTGAGCCGAAGTCAGAAGCTTAACTAACTGAGTCACCAGGCACCCTGAGATTTCCATGTCTAAAAACAAAATATGACATAAAAGCTAGAGAATATTCAGAGATTCTAAAATTTTTACTATAAATGTTATGTACTTAACATCAGCTGTGAATTTTAGTTTCATCAAAACATAAGGCAAACCTTTTCATTTTCTTAGCTTTTAAAAAATATATTTTTTACTTTTTTTAAAGATTTTATTTATTTGACAGAGAGAAAGAGACAGTGAGAGAGGGAACACAAGCAAGGGCAGTGGTAGAGGGAGAAGCAGGGTTCCCACTGAGCAAGGGAGCCCGATGTGGGGCTTGATCCCAGGACCCTGGGATTATGACCTGAGCTGAAGGCATACGCTGAATGACTGAGCCACCCAGGCGTCCCTAAAAAATATATTTTTTTAAATTAAGCTTTCAAACAACAGAATCGTAATAGGGTGTTATGAGAACTACCAGTATAAATAAAAAATATAAATAAACAGCTATACTTTATCCTGTAACATCACTTCAAATTCCATTATTCAACATAACCTAGATTCACTGTTTGCTTTGGGTGTTACACTTTTGCCATTAAAATAAACCAACAAACAAACAACTTTCACAGAGTTTGCTGGCTTATGTCTCTTGAGATCGTAAAATTTAATAAAAAGTACCATATATCCTGCAGAAGATGTTACATACAAACCTAATATCAACCACCAATCAAAAACCAGTAATACCCAAAGAAGAGAAAGGAATCCAAGTATATCACTAAAAAAAAGCCAGCAAACCATGAAAGACAGCAAGAGAAGGATCAGAGAAAAACTACAAAAACAACCATAAAATAAGCAACAAAATGGCAATATATATCTATCAGTAACTACTTTGAATGTAAATAAATTAAATATTCCCAACAAAAGACACAGGGTAACAGAGTGAATAAAAAAACAAGACCCATCTATTTGCTGCTTATAAGAGAGACTCATTTCAGACCTGAAGACACCTACAGATTGGAAGTGCAGGGATGGAGAAACATTTATCACACAGATGGATGCCAAAGAAAACCAGGGTAGCAATACTTGCATCAGACAAAAGAGGCTTTAAAACAAAGACTATAACAAGAGACAGAGAATGACACTATATAATAATAAAAGGGAAATCCAACAAGATGTAACAACTGTAATTATTTATACACCCAACATGGGATTACCCCCATACATAAAACAGTTAATAGCAAACATAAAGCAATTAATAGTAATACAATAATAGTAGGGAACTTATACACTTACATCAATAGACAAATCGTTCAACCAAAAAATCAACAAAGAGTGTTCTGAATGACCCACTGGACCAGATGGATTTAACAGATATATTCAGAACATTTCACCCTAAAACAGCAGAATACACATTCTTTTCAAGTGCATATGGAACATGCTCCAAAACAGATCACATATTAGGCCACAAAACAAGTCTCAACAAATTCAAAAAGATCGAAGTCATACCATGCATCTTTCTGACCACGCTATGAAACTAGAAAACAACCACAAGAAAAAATCTGGAAGAGCACAAATACATGGAGGTTAAATAACATGCTACTAAACAATGAATGGGTCAATCAAGAAATCAAAGAAGAAATTAAAAAATTACCTGGAAACAAATGAAAATGAAAATACAATGGTCCAAAATCTTTGGGATACAGCAAAAGCAGTCCTAAGAGGGAAGTTTATAGTAATACAGGACTACTTCAAGAACAAGAAAAATCTCAAATAAACAACCTAACCTTACACTTACAGGATCTAGAAAAAGAACAAAACTCAAAACCAGCAGAAGGAAGGAAGTAATAAAGATTAAAGCAGAAGTGAATATATATAGAAACTAAAAGAAAATAATAGAACAGACCAACAAAACCAGGAGCTGGTTCTGTGAAAAGATCAACAAAATTGATAAACCTCTAGCTAGACTCATCAAAAAAGGAGAGAGAGAGAGGGCTCATATAAACAAAATCACTAATGAAAGGAGAGAAATAACACCACAGAAATACAATTGTAAGATATTATGAAAAATTGTATGCCAATAAATTGGACAACCTAGAAGTAATGGTTAAATTCCTGGAAACATATCACCTACCAAAACTGAAGCAGGAAGAAATAGAAAATTTGAACAGACCAAGATTACTAGCAAAGAAACTGAATCAATAATAAAAAAAAACTCCCAAGAAACAAAAGTCCAGGACCAGACAGCAGCTTCACAGGGAAATTCTACCAAACATCTGAAGAGTTAATACCTATTCTTCTCAAACTATTCCAAGGAAAACTTCCCAAATTTGTTCTATTTGAAACCTCCAAATTCATTCATTCTATTCATTCCTGTTACCAAAACCAGATAAAGACACACAAAAAAGAGAACTACAGGCCAATATCTTTGATGAATATAGACGCAACAATCCTCAACAAAATACTAGTGAAACCAAATCCAACAATACATTAAAAAAATCATTCATCACAATCAAGTGGGATTTATTCTTGGGATGCAAGGGTGGTTCAATATTCACAAATCAATTAATATGATACATCACATCAATAAGAAAAAGGATAAATACCATATGATCATTTCAACAGATGTAGAAAAAGCATTTGACCAAGTACAACATCCATTCATGATAAAAACACTCAACAAAGTAGGTTGAGAGGGAACACACCTCAACATAATAAAGGCCATATAGTAAAAACCCACAGTGAACAACATATTCAATGGGAAAACAAATGAGAGCCTTTCCCCTAAGGTCAGGAACAAGACAAGGACGTCCACTCTCACCACTTTTATTCAACATAGGACTGGAAGTCCTAGCCACAGCAATCAGACAACAAAAAGAAATAAAAGCTATTCAGATTGGCAAAGAAGAAGTCAAACTCTCATTGTTTGCAGATGACATAATACTATATATAGAAAACCCTAAAGACTCCACCAAAAAACTATTAGAACTGATGAACAAATTCATTAAAGTCTCAGGATATAAAGTTAATATATGGAAA